AAAAACGCCAAGCTGACGCGCAGTTGAAATAACTTGAAGCGGATGCAAGGCGGCAATACCGACAAGAAAATTCTACACCAGAGATGATAGCTAATGAAGCTGTGATTATGAAGTCGAAACGTAACCCGGAACTTGATATCAGCTATAAAGAAGAATCACCGCTATATCACAATCGGTCTCAGCACTATCTCTTTGAATAAATATATATATATAAGTATCACAACCACAATCAGTCTCAGTACCATCTCAACTTTAATCACAATAATCACCTCCGAAAGCTTCACCTCATAATTATCTTCAAGCAGCTTGAAATGCGGTGATTTTTTTTTACAAGGAAGGTTCTCGCAAATCCGTGTAGCTTTTGCGAAACATTATCGTCCGATTGAATTCAGGCTAGAGACTGGAAATAGTGAAATGTGTGCGTCCACACTGAGTCAAACTTATTCTTTTATTTTTTATTTAATACATACTGCGCACACTAAGTAGTCCAAGCAGGAAGGGCACGTCACGCATACCACAGGCGTAATGACGTACATCATACGAAAAACACACTTTGTTTTACACGCTACAATACACTTCGTTATGTAACAACATCACGCTTCGCTCTATACACTACAATAAACTTCAATATGCAAAGCTACAACACACCCGGTTCTACAACACTACATTACACTATGTTCCACAACACAAGTAGTAACTTACGCCAAACAATGACACTACATTGCATACCTCATACTTTACAATACGTTACACATACGTTACAATGAATGAGGTTCGCATAACTTGTTCCAGTCCGACACTGTTCGCGGAAAAAAAGAATACATAAAGGCATCGGTTCTCGCAAAAAATGGGGTTAGCAAATTGGGATGATGATGTCGTGTGTTCCTTGTTGACAGAAAAGATAAGTAAGGCGATGAATGGATTGCGAGTTTTTGATTAAGTAATAATTGAACTTATAATCAACTTATAGTCAAACTTATAATCTATGAAGTGTGAAACTTGCGTTCCGGTTGATGGAAATAAACATATGCCTGGTTGAGAGCGGAGCCACACGCACCACATCTGCATCCCGTCGCGAGAATCCCAATAACAGCGCTTCCGGACAGCTAATCCAGGCCGCCTCGATCGCTCGTCTCCCGAGTCAAGGCGCGGCCGTGAACGCACCACGTAACCCTCTTCCGTGACGCTTGGCCGGCTCTCCACGGATCAGCGACACACGGGCTTCACAGTGGCGAGGCGTTCTCGCCTTTCTCTCTTTCCTTGCCAAGCGGCTAGAATCCAGCAGGGATCGTCTGAGCTGGCGCCCAAAATAAAAGCGGTCCCCTCCCCGGCCGTGCACAGATGCGGGTGACACTGAATTTATTTCCGGCGGGAAAACACAGCGCAGTGCTCAGGGACGCTGCCGTTTGCGATGCGCGCGCGAGTGTGACTTGCGCGGCGGCGCGAGTTGACGTGAAAGTGCACGGTGAGATCAGTTGCGTAACCACTCACTGACACGAAGTGGCTAGGGCAGGTGAGACCTGTGGCAAAGAGTGAAGGGGGAGGTAGATACAGCGAGAGCCTGTTTGAAAGCAAGAGCTCGTGACTTACGCGTCTCGCCCTCTCGAAGAGCGGCCTGCCGTTTTAATTTCCATTCCGGGACGCCGTGAAGCTACGCCGAAGCTGCATATCTCGTCGTCGTGCATACGTACGCGTATACACCTGTACTATGTGACGTGTGTGGCACAGCTCACGCTCTTAAAAGGAACCAGTACTTTACTTATCATAGTTCGGTGTAACCTCCCGACAGAAGTAAAAAAAAAAAAAGTTTGTGCCTCTGAAGGAGAACGTTACGTGCAAAAGAATAATAAAAACGAAATGACGCAAAGTTCTTTATGTGTTCACCTAATATGACTCGTAAATGAAAGCCTTTTTCTTCTTCTTCTCCTTCCTCGATGTATTCATCTTCCTACGCTCACCTCCAAAACCTTTTGATTCTAAGATGGTTTCATAACGCCTCCGAGATTAGAGGCACTGCAGGATATATCTGCGCCTCATCTCGTTTTGCATTGCCTCGGTGATGGACTCGCCTTTCACCAAGCCACAACGTATTGTGATGATATTCGCGTTATGTGGCCTCATGGTAATGTCATAGTGGTATCAAAAATTTCACTGATATCTGACGTCATGGGGACGTCATGCTGTGACGTAAACACTCGATAATTTTTTTGCATTGCTCGCGTTGACAGCGCCGACGGTCCATTTTTGCATTTGATAAGGCATGTAAAGATCCCGCCTAGATCACAAGCAGCGTAAGCAATCGAATTATTCTCATGGTAAATGCGTATGATATTGCCGTTGATGACGTGCTTTATCTGTGGGCGTGGTGAATAGAAATTTCAGTTGATAGCCAGCACTGATGACGTCGGTTCCTTTCTAATTTTCTGTTCGTGTGCGTGCGCTCTCTTAAGATGGTGTTATCTGCCCCATGGTGCCGAAATTTTCTCCCTCATACAATGAAACCACGAATCGAGGACACTCTCTCAACGTTGTGAAATCACGTCAATGGTCTCAACGTGCTGGCTTGCTGTACGCACAGCCGAGTTTGAAGGGAAACGCGCGCCCCTTCTCCTACGCGTCGTGTCTTCCCTCTATTACGGCCGTGCTCGAAGTAAATGCTTAAGGAAAGTTTCACATGTTCGGGAAATGCTCCAAATATGAAAAATCTCGCGCATCTACGTGGGGTGTTTTTGAGGGTGTTTTATCCCACCTGATGATGTCTGCAAATAGTCAACGAGGAGTACTGTATGGCTACATAAAGTATCTCCCAGCAATTAAAAAATGGTCAGCCTGTGACTCAGTGGTTGGAGCAGTGGGTAGCGATGCTAGAGAGACCTCAAGTCGAGATCCCGCAGTCTGAACTTTTGTTTGCTCATGTACACATTCACTGCGCTGACGTCATTTGTGTGTGTGTGTCATTGGCGTAGCCGGGGCATGTTTGGAAAATTCATGCCCCTCCCCCATTTTTTTTCCCAATTTATATGTGTATACACGCACACACGCGCGTATATATATGCTATGTACATACCCACACGCACGCACGCACGCACACACACACACCCGCACACACGCGCGCACACATAAAGTGTGGTTGTAACTCCGAAAATTTCTAAGTGCGCCTCTGGTGTGCGTGTGCGCGCACGCGTGCCTACAACGGTGGCTGCAGAGAGGAATGGAGGGGGAAAGGGCAATATGTAGTTCGCTAATCTATTCCATTCACACAAAATGACATCGGTTAAGAAACCTGATTGATTTGTGGGGTTTAACGTCCCAAAACCACCATATGATTATGAGAGACGCCGTAGTGGAGGGCTCCGGAAATTTTGACCACCTGGGGTTCTTTAACGTGCGCCCAAATCTGAGCACACGGGCCTACAACATTTCCGCCTCCATCGGAAATGCAGCCGCCGCAGCCGGGAATCGAACCCGCGACCTGCGGGTCAGCAGCCGAGTACCTTAGCCACTAGACCACCGCGGCGGGGCCGGTTAAGAAACCTCTATCTTTAATTATTAACGTGTACATACAAGCCTGCACGATTTAAAATAAGTTGTACCTTCAGAATATAGTTTTGTTAAATGTGTGCCATCGTCTAGAACGAAATCACGGAGAAAGAAAAAAATCTATCAGTATTCCCAGATTTTTCTAGCTTTCTATTCTCACTCTCTTTTTTTTTACGCGACTGTTCACGCTGCGACCTTAGGAGTGATTTCTACACATATTGTGACACAACTCATGTGCATCAAGGCGTTATAACCAAAGTACGACATTGAAGCGAGCTTCGACAAAGTCCCGCTTGAGTCAGTTTCCCTGCCATGCGTGACGGCGTACGTGTGCAGCCAGCTCGTCAGTCAACATTCCAGAAACGCGAGAGCGCTGGCCGCAGCTTGCATGATGCCGCGAGTACGGCGCGTGTTAATGAAGGGTAAACACGCCTTCGCGCTGTTTACATAATCTGAGTGCTTTCGGCGAGTTGCCTTTCGTTGCACTGCTTTCTAAGCGGGGCGAAATCTTGGCCCTACGATTACATCACTAGTCCACCCTACCATGCAACTAACATCGCTGTTCACGCTCTTTCCGATTTCAAATCAAATCAAATCAAGTTTTGTTATTTCATAATACGATGTAAAAAAAGAATATACAGAAGGCGGTCCCGTAGTATACACTTCAATGGGACCTCCTATGAAATGTAAACGTAAGTAGGCTTGGCCACATCATCCGCGTAATTCTCACAAACATAGGCGGACATAAGAACAATATTTGCTGTACTAGACAGCACACCACGACACCAGAAATGTTACCAATGAGCGAATGATCAAAAGTGGAACGGTATATTCCTTAAATGTAAAACTCTCCGGAAAACTGTAGAGTTTAGCAAGAAGATATAACTGAAAGAGGCAACGAGTAAATTTCTTTTCCAAGACGTGCCCGGCTAAACTAGGCATTTTATTTGCTAACGTCACAGACAGTTCGCCGAGCATATCCGAATATTTACTTTGATTCTCTAAAAGAAATCAAGATCTTCGCTATAAATATTGTGCATCCTGGTATGAAGTATTGCTATTTCTAGCGACAGTCTTCATAGGAAACAGTCACGATTTCATTCTGTAAAAACAAGAGTTTTCAAACACTTTTTTTTTCGAATATCGCCAAAAGATAGCGCATTGTGCCGAACGTATGACGCCGGAGTGTGCACCGCATCTTTTGATGCCAATAAACCATGCCACAAACAAGAGCACCCTTTACCATTGGTGCTCGTTGCGAACCTACTTCCGTATTGACCTTGAGGAACAAAGAGGAACTAAATATCCACTTGTGGGTGTCACGTCCTATAGTGCGCGCGCGCGCGTCCACAGCTGGAAACTACTACGAGGTGAAACGAAACCGCGCCAAGGTGACGAGATTCTGTAGAAGAAAAGCGCGCAGCCTGACACGGTGAGAGAAAAAAAGAAACGGGACTCACAGGCGAAAGCCGGCAGGATGGTGAGGGCGACGTATATCCATAGCATGTGATGCATCCTGCTGTTGCTGCTGTGCGATTCCGGGCCTGTTTGGAACACAGAGTGGCTCGAGTCCTTCATTAGAGGCGAGACGCGCTGTGACGACGATTCGAGTGCGCGCGTCGCGCCACCTCGCCTCCCCCGCGCGGGACGGTCCCGTACGCAACCACGTGGCACGGTGCCAACAAGCGGGCAGACCGCGCGGAGCGCCAACAAGGGCGGGGGCAGCTTGCGTTGCCCGCTTCCAGTTTTGAAACCATGGTGCACGAGTGTTTGTTGGTGGCGTCCAGCACGATGGGAGTAGAGGTGGGGAGAGAAGGGCCCACGATCTACTAAGGGAGTCACCAAATCAGTCCCACTTATATACTCAGGCGAACCTCTGCCGTCATTGTTCTCATGATATTCATAGGAGCACGTGAAATATAAAAAATACGTGATCTGATGTCATGCTCTGAATTAAAACTGTAACATAACCTTTTTTATTATTTCTTGTATCTGATATACATGGTTTATTCAATAAAATTTTCAGTTTGCTGTAAGCGCCTGCTTTCGTGTTGCCTTCCTTCGTCCTGTATCCAGCCTGTTTATTTTATTTTATTATTATTATATGCGAACTTCCCCACCTTTCGCCGCGCACTCAGTGTTGTCTATAAGTGGGTTGGTGGGGAAGGGGCCAGTGTCGTCACAGCACCCCACCCCCTTCACTGTTTTTTTGATTCTGAAAGAAAAGCGCAACGAAACTATGTTCTGTGCTTAGAGATGCCCGAATATTGATAGGAATGCACACACTCTAAGGAATGGTGTACTCGCCGAGAACAATCAAGTCGTTGCGAGCGAATTGATTGGAACCAACTACCGTAGTGTCCATCACCTTCTTTCAATGCTGTTTCTGATTTGCGCCGTTCTCCGTCGCGCGTCGTCTGCATCCTTCGGGAAGTGATAGAACGATACCTCCTTTTCACCGCGATGCCAAGCATTGCGGAACATTGCAACGGTTTTTGGACATCGCTGTCTTCTTTTTCGGGGTTGTTCTTTCGGCATGTCGGTAATAACGGACCTACGCGGCCGCTTCTCAACACGCACAACATGGTAACATGTCTACTTTCAAGGTAGACTCTTCGTTTCCAGATGCCGCCGCGCTAGGTGGCGAGTGCCTACTTAGAGTCGCGATCGACACGCCTCCGCTGTCCATGTGACGGGACGGGTTGCAAGTGGCAGTTCTTTCATATATTACACATTAGCTGCTCACGCGTGCGTTCCTGCGCATGTAGACGTTCCTTCTTCGTGTTTCCGCTTACACGATTCGCTACTAGTTCACCAAGATCAACAGAGAGCTGACTCCCGTATATACACACTTCCGTTAGAACTCATGTATGTAAATATCTGCTTTTAATATCAGACTCCTTTCTTCGTTCTTGGGTCTGCATAAAACTGCACATTCACTGAATATTAATGTGCGTTTACCATCGCAATGATCCAGTGAAAGATTGGGCGGTGGTCACAGACACGTGCGCAGATAGGACAGGGTTAAGCACAAAACGTATCCGATAATTTGGGAGGTCTCCGAACTAAGTTACGACCCTACGAGTAATATTCAGCGAATCGGGCCGAATATGCAAGGTTCACCCTGACTCGCTTCTTATGGATGCGAAGAGCATATAGTCGGGGCTTGTCCCTTGTCCATCGTCGTAGCCACGCTAGTACTCGGAGCGCCCACTAGATGGCTCTGCAGCAGAGTGCTCTCTTACAATAGGTATGATGAATTACAATAGGTACGATGTTGTGAGAGGAATATGGAAAGGGGTCATGGTTCCTGGGCTGACGTTCGGCAATGCGGTCTTGTGCGTGAGATCAGAAGTTCAAGCAAGATTAGAAATTAAGCAACGTAGAATAGGTAGGCTTGCTTTAGGAGCTCACGGGAATACACCAAATCAGGGAGTACAAGGTGATATGGGACGGACATCATTTAAGAGCAGGAAAGCTAGCAGAGAGATAAAATTTGAGAAGCGATTGAGAGAAATGGGGGAGGAGCGTTGGGCTAGAAAGGTTTTCAGCTACTTGTACATGAAGAATGTCGATACAAAATGGAGGAAGCGAACCAGGAAATTGATTGGTAAATACTTAGAAAACAGCAGGTGGCCAAACCAAAAAAAAAAACTGTCGGTTAAGAAGAAAGTGAAGGAAACGGAGACTGACATGTGGAGAATTGGCATGATTAAGAAGTCCGCACTAGAGATCTATCGAACTTTTAAGCAGGAAATCGCCAAAGAAAGGATCTATGATAATACTCAGGGCAGTTCTTTACTGTTTGAGGCAGGGACGGGAGTATTGCGAACCAAGACATATCGGGCCAAATACGAAGGAGGAAACACAGTTTGCAGTGCGTGTGAGGAAGAAGAAACTGCCGAACACTTGATAATGTTCTGTAAAGGGCTTCACCCTGTAGTTCAGGATGATGGCGCAGAGTTTTCAAAGCACTGGGGTTTAGGGACAGGGAGGGCAAAATAGACTTTAAGTGGGTAGACTTAACTAGAAGGAGGTTATCGGATTGGTGGCTAAAGTCAAGGCACGAGTGAAAATTAAACCCTTCACTGCAAAGTACGAATCCTCAACTTCATTATTTAAAGGAAAAAAAAGATAAATCTAATGGTTAGTTCGCTAAGTATTACGGCTAGGTGGCGTTAGCCGCCGCCTGATCTAAAGGGTACAGCCCCATCCATCCATCCATCCATCCATCCATCCATCCATCCATCCATCCATCCATCCATCCATCCATCCATCCATCCATCCATCCATCCATCCATCCATCCATCCATCCATCCATCCATCCATCCATCCATCCATCCATCCATCCATTCATCCATCCATCCATCCAACCTCTTCCCTCCGCTGAGTGATCTGGTATGAGTGGAGACCACTAGCGGCGCTCTGCTGCTTTGTGTGAAATGTTCAGGATGTGGAGTGGGTTTCAAAGTGGACCCAAGCGTAGAAGCGGATGGAGAAGAGGCTGACGCGAAGTGTAGGCAATGTGAGGTCGAGGAAAAAATGGAGAAAATGATGGTTGCCCAAAGTGAACTGCTGGTGAGAATCGATGAGCTCGAGACTGCGTTGGCGACAGAGCAAGAGAAAACGATGGGAATGGGAGAAAGACAGAAGTCCACCGAGGAAGCACTAGCGAAGCTGAACAAAGAAGCGGCCTACAGAGAGAACAGTAGAAAACCGGCAACCAGAACGGTGGAGAAGGAAGAGCTAGCAAGTTTGGAAAAAACAGGTTTAGCCGGTCCAACTGTCGCAAGGCCCAGCTTCAATGAGGTAGTGGTGGGGCTGGGAGGGGACAAAGCAGTTGGCGTCACAGGTGCAAGTAGCCCCCAGGTGCAGGACGCTCCAGCTGAAAAGTCACAGCATGTGATAATCGCTGGGGACTCGAATTTAAATCGATGCACAGAAGCCATCAAAGAGAGGGTAAGAGGTGACAAGAGGGTTGCAGTAGGGGCGTTCCCAGGACGCAAGCTTGAAGCAGTCATGAGGCAAGCGAGCGCAAAACTCAAAACTACAGCTGATAGACGAAACCTCGTGATAATTTCAGGCAGTTTAAACGATCTCTTAAATGAAGATACAGCAGGACTAGCAGCCACACTGGCGAAAGGCGTCGATGACATGCGCGCCACTTCTCCTAAGGTACAGGTAGTGATATGCACGATACCGGAGGTACCGGTGCGTGATAGCAACCTGCAAAGAGCGGTTGTCAACGCAAACCAAGAGATATGGCGGATGAGTCGAGAGAAAGGCTTTGAGGTGGTGGAAATAAACAGAGAGGTGCATAGGTGGGGTGGTTTTCAACGAGACAGAATTCACTTCGATGGGCGGCTAGGTCATGAGGTGGGTTGGCGACTTGCCGGACGCGCAGTAGCTTTTTCTTTTGGGGGGGGGGGGGCAAGCGAGCCCTTTGCGGTGCAGGATAGCTAGTAACGAGGCAAACAACCAGGGAGACTCTTCGACAGGTGTTATGGCCAGATACGATTCCAAAGTGGCACCAATGTCTAAGATAGGTAGAGTCCAGGGCATAAATAGACGTAGCCACGAGCGCTGAGCCCATTCAGACATAGGGTATATTAACATGCAGGGTGGTAGGAACAGGCTGAAGTGGGAAGAGATAGAAGAACAGCTAAGGGAAGAGAGGCTGATGGTATACGGTTTTGTAGAAACACATCTCAGGGACATGGAACAACCTCCGAACAATCCGGACTACACGTAGGAATATTGTAATAGAACAGAAGGCAGCAGAAAGGGGGGGGGGTATTGGGGCATTCATTCATAAAAGTACAGACTGGCAAAGGGTCAAGCAGGAGTGCAAGGAATATTTATGGCTAAAAGGGAAAGTGGCAGGTCAAATGACACTCCTTAGTTTCGTGTACTTGTGGACGGGAGCAAAGGCCAGAGAGGAAAACCAGGCAATGGTAGAGTGTATATCAAAGGACATTCAGGAGTTAGGAAGAGAGTGCGAGATAATTATACTAGGAGACATGAATGCGCACGTAGAAGATATAGATGGGTATACCGACCCGACAGGCAAAATGATCATGCATGGATATGTGTGAAAGGCTTGATTTGATAATTTGCAACAGTACCGAGAAGTGTGAAGGGCAAATAACATGGGAGGTAGGAAGGCTGCAGTCGACGATAGATTATGCACTGATGTCACATAGGATGTATGATAAGCTCAGGGGAATGCACATAGATGAAGGTGGCTCCAGAAGTCTGGGTAGTGATCACAAACGTATCAAGCTAAGTTATGGAAGAGCAGTGAAAGTGGGAAGGAGACAAGATGAGCAACTACAGGAAAATTTTTATTCAAAAAGGCAAATTGAAATAGCCACTAAACAAATTGAGAAAGTAATCACGGAGGATAATAAGACAGTGTGGACATACAAGAATCTAATTAGACTCTTTGAGCTAGAGCTTGCTAAGACGCGTAACAAGTCACCCCGGAAAAGAAGACACAAACCCAAAAGTTGGTGGGATGAGGAAGTTAAGAGAGCCATAGCAAAACGTCAGGAAGCCTCTAGGGAACACAGACATGCTAAGCAGCGGGGTGAACCGAGAGATGATGTTGAAAGAAAATGGGAAACCTTTCTAAGCTGTAGAAGGGCTGCATCCCTTCTGATCAATGAAAAGATTAGAAGAAAGGGAGCTCAGTGGCTGGCAGAAGTTCATAAAAAAGATAGAAAGGCAGCTGCGAAATTTTGGAACCATCTAAACTCCCTAAGAAATGAGACGAGCCTAGAGCAGAGTTTTATAACTACAGCCCAAGGTGCCAGGCTAGAAGGGGACGAAGCTATTGAATATATAAGAACAAGGGTGACAAAAAAATTTCAACAAAGAAGTACTTTATGCACCACAATAGACAAGGACGAATCAAGTGGTGCAATGGCTCCATTTTCACAAAGAGAGTGGGAAAGGGCTGAGAAAAGGGTTCCTAGTAGTACATCAACAGGCCCAGATGGCATTACAATTAGGCTGATAAAGACATTAGGTCCGAAGTCTAAGCAGGCTTTGAGAGAGACAGTGAGCAAAATAATAAGCGATGGTGAAGTTCCCGATGGATGGAAACTTAGCAGGATGAGCATGATCTATAAAGGAAAGGGGGACAAAGCTGACAGAAACAACTACCGTCCTATAACAGTGACATCAGTGGTCTACAGGCTGGCGATGCAGATTATAAAGGAAGGGCTGCAGGCATGGATAGAAGATGAGGGGGTTGGGGTGCTGGGGAACTGCAAAATAAGTTTCGGAAACACAGGAGGTTGGAAGACAATCTGTTCTCACTGACGCAGTGCATCGAAATAGCAGAAAAGGAACACAGGCCCCTGTGGCTAGCATTTTTGGATATCAAGGGAGTGTACGATAGCGTGGTTCAAGAGGAATTGTAGGGAATACTGGACACACTAGGCGTGGAACATGTAGTCACTAATCTTTTAAAGTGTATCTATAAAGGTAACAAGGTAGTTATAAAGGGGGAAAAACAGGTATCCAAGCCTGCAGAGGTAAAACGGGGGCTTAGGCAGGGGTGCCCCCTGTCACCCTTATTATTCATGATGTATCTACAAGGATTAGAGGCAAAACTAGAGGGAAGTGGGCTGGGCTTCAACCTCTCTTTAGTCAAACAAGGAAAACTTATTGATCAGGCACTACCAGCATTAATATACGCAGATGATATAATGCTAATGGCCAACAACAAGGAAGATTTGCAGAGATTGATGGACATCTGCGGTAATGAGGGAGATAGGTTAGATTTTAGATTCAGTAAGGAAAAATCAGCGGTCATGATTTTCAATGACAACGAAAGTAATGAGCTTAGGATACAGGAGGTCACGCTAGAGATAACAGATAAATACAAATATCTGGGCGTATGGATAAGCAATGGGACCGAGTACCTGAGGGAACACGAAATATACGTGACGACTAAAGTTAACAGAAATGCAGCAGTGATGAAAAATAGGGCACTGTGGAATTACAATAGGTATGATGTTGTGAGAGGAATATGGAAAGGGGTCATGGTTCCTGGGCTGACATTCGGCAATGCGGTCTTGTGCATGAGATCAGAAGTTCAAGCAAGATTAGAAATTAAGCAACGTAGAATAGGTAGGCTTGCTTTAGGAGCTCACGGGAATACACCAAATCAGGGAGTGCAAGGTGATATGACATGGACATCATTTGAGGGCAGGGAAGCTAGCAGCAAGATAAAATTTGAGAAGCGATTGAGAGAAATGAAGGAGGAGCGTTGGGCTAGGAAGGTTTTCAGTTACTTGTACATGAAGAATGTCGATACAAAATGGAGGAAGCGAACCAGGAAGTTGACTGGTAAATACTTAGAAAACAGCAGGTGGCCAAACCAAAAAGAACTATCGGTTAAGAAGAAAGTGTAGGAAACCGAGACTGACATGTGGAAAATGGGCATGATTAAGAAGTCCGCACTAGAAATCTATCGAACTTTCCGGAGGAGGGCGGTGGAACTCGGTAGTACGGAAGCGGACCAGATGGTGCGGTCCTGGGAACGCCTGCTTCTTCGGGTATCTCGAAGTCACTGACGGCAGATGGTGGGAGACCGGCAAGTCGACGGCTTCGTCGAAGCTGTGGTAGTGATCGTTCCGTAGTTGAAGCGCCTACCCAGTTCCTCCACCACTCTGTCACGTTTGAAAGAGACCGGTAGAGGTTGAAAGGGGCCGTTTATTAGGTCGCGAGGGGCAGCTCAGAAGCGGCCGACTGGTTAGAGAACCTCCTGATCCTCTTCTTTCTTTCTCACTCCGGGCGACAAGGGCGTTCACCATATACGCTTCGTTGTCTTCGTCAACAATATAGTCAGGCTTGTCCCTTGTCCGTCATCGTAGCCACGCCAGTACTCGGAGCGCCCACTAGATAGCTCTGCAGCAGAGCACTCTCTTCACTCCGCTGAGTGCTCTGGTATGAGTGGAGACCACTAGCAGCGCTGTGCTGCTATGTGTAATAAAGACGTTTGCTAATCTCGATCACATACACACAGCGTAGTAGTTTAAATCAACACATGAGCATGAGTGTGACGGAGGTGAGGGCCGGATCGCAAAGCAGCTGCGTGTGTGCTCAACCATGAACGTCTGCGGTGGTGAATAAACACCCCTTTACAGATCTTTAAGTCGACCCATGGCTGTTTCGCGTACTACTTAGCGTTCCTTAGTAGGGAGATGTGTGCGTTTTTTATGTTCTCCCGAAATTGTACGGACCCAAATAGAAAATCCCCAAAGGTATCCGCCCCATGCAGGGCGCGTTTGCGATGAATATATGCATGCTAACTTGCATACCTCATAAGGTGTCATAAGTCGCTTATAATTTAAAAGAAATGACCAAGAGGCAGACACATGCTTTCGGAGACAAAGGAATCGGAGCTAATATGCGCTAGTTAGTAACGGCTGCTAGTTTCTGTAACGTGATGATAGAGGACAACTCGCAGCATCGACGGCTTTCAGAAACTGTTCTAAATCACAAAAGCACCAGGCTTTTCGTGGGTGGAGCTTTAGTGATTAATTTGATTACATCATATAGTAGTGGCATCGTTGCCTATCGGATAACAAGCAAGATGGCGGAACCAGGAAAAATGCGCATCAAGCGTCACTGCAGGTAGTTATATTCACCCCTGGGCCACCCCGCGCTGTATGTGCACGTATAGGCGTGCGCACGAAGGGGGCGACCACACCCCCAGTCATCTAAGAAGGGGCGCGAGATGTGCTAGGGGGGGGGGGGGGGTGGCGCACAGTCTGTCTCATACATTGAGGTATTAGGGAAGGAGGGCACTGCGACGAACATATATGCCCTCTCGAGAGGAAATCCAGCGCACGCCCATGTACGTGCACCAACGTTTATAGATAAAAGCCGGCTAAACTTTATTCGCTGGCGTACGTTATTCGCGGCGACTGTAACCATGTCCTGGAGGCTTCGGCGGGTCATGAATGGCTCAGCCGTCTTCGCCTGGCTGCAAAGGCCGTGTGGTATCGTTAGCGCATGAGGGTGTTTCACCAGCAAACTGAAACTGAGTTCACATTCCGACAGCTGTGTAAATAGGCGTGCGCAGGGTTTCCCTCCAGAGGGGGCGAAGGCTCTTCGCAGCGCCCCCACTCCCGATTATGTCAATGTACGGGACTAACTTTGAGCCCTCCTCCCCCTCTTTGTGACTGTGAAAGCCTTCAGGAACCCCCCCCCCCCCCCCCCCCGCCTCAGCGAAGCAAGGGCGCAGGCACAAATTTTTTAGGGGGGGGGGGGGGGGAGGGACCCCTTTTTGTTCTGGAGAGGTAGCAGGGCAGGCAAATGGTAATTGTGCACATGCATGCCATGATGAAAAAAAAAATTACGGGGGGGGGGGGAGGCACGGGCTTGATGTGCCAACCCTTAGCTATGCCACGAATCAATGGTACAGTTAAGCCACCTTATATAAGGCACTGATCTAACAAAATATTCGGTATAAGAGACATTAGTTAATCTACATCAAAGTAGGGGTTGATCAGAAAATGAGCCTGGCGACCTATTTATAAGAAACCCCTCATATAAGGGTCAGGATCTGCTTTCCAGCACATGCCTCTCAGAAAGGGGTTCAACTGTGTGATTAATAGTTCATTCCACATAAAGCTGTCAACACAATTCCTCAACCTTAGCTTTGCCGACAGGCGATTCACTCATGCAGTCATCACTACTACAGGCGCTTCTGCCAAGATCACTGGCACATGCATATTCGTGCGCACACTGCCTCTGTAGGCATGGCAACCGATATGTTGGGTACCAAAATTCAATCCTGTAGGGCAGCATTCTAAAGCTAGACGTGCAAGTGTATAAGAATTAATAAAATGTGATGTTCGAAAGCCAGTATCCAGGCATTGTAAAAGGCAGCTGCTGACATTGTAATTATCCAACCTTGTGCCAACCTTCTTAAAATGATGGAGCCACACACCTGCCGCATTACCGCCAGCTGAATCCACAGAGAAAAGAAAAAACTTCTCTGCGATGCTGGAACACATACGTAATGCAGACTTCACGATGAAATTATAGCTAGACAGCCGCTTTCATAAGTATTTCACGTGAAAAAAAGCAAATGGCTTGAAAGGTAACGTTTTCCTTTGCAAATTTCAGGAGAAAATGCTTAAATGTGTATCAAATGTCTCAAGCAATGAAAGCGTTCGAGGCATCATTTTGGCTTGTCTACATGACGAAGTGTCCCCAGCCAGCAGTACACAAGACAGTGACTACCATTGGAATTTCATTTATTTACAAACTTCACGTTGACTGGCATGTCTAGGATGTGCAGTACATAGCCCACGAGTGGGATGAGGGCTTCCTGAGGTACAACCCATTGCACAGGCACAGAAGAACCCGCTGGATGATCTGGAGGCACGAGGAAGTGTCCCAAGCGTTTCTAGAATAAGAAAGGGAACAAGATACAATACTCGAGAGACTAACAAACAGAAGACAGCATATAGCGAAACAGCAAGCTGATTGATCTTTCATGTATATCGTTTCACACTATATTAAGGACAATGATAATGCACCTTCCATGTTTTTAGTACTTCCAATGAATTGTACATTTCTTCCATCATGGATAAATAAAGCAACCAAGGAGAGTATACTAATATTTCTCAAAGTGCATCTGAGTTGAACTTTTCGAAATGAGTTACGCATCAAAATAAATGTCCATATATTATCCCATTTATGCCCACATTGCTGTGTAGCTCAAAGAACGCTAAAAAGAAAGTTGAAATGAGTTGTTTTAGATAGATAAACTGCACCCTAAGAGCTCTAATGCAGGGGTGCAACAGCCAAAATACAATATGGAGCAATTTTTGAAACAGCAAAATGTTACTTATGGAGTATTGAAATCCAAATTTGAAGCACTTTACGGGAAAAAATCATACATTTTTTTATCATGAAATACCAAATTTGGAGCAGTATAAAAAAATAAGAGTTAGATTTAAAAAAAAGAATGTATAAACCATTCAACATCCCTTAAATTGTGCAGTGTGAATTGGATCACTGCTATTTCAATCAATGTAGTATTTTAAACCACCCCACTGAGCAAACGATGATGAAGCCCATATTAGCATTTGCCGGGTCCGTCAAATAATTTGACAGACTTTGCGAATTTAAACATGAATCTTCAGAGATCGCAACATTGAAATTTTGGAGATTCGTGAAACAGAGGAGTCGGGATGGCAAAAAAAAAAAAAAAAATCTGGTGCACAATTTAGTTTTTTTTTTTTTAGAAAAGCAAAAATGTCATACACTGCTCCAAACGATTGCTAGTACCGTAATTACTCGAATCTAACACGCACCTTTTTTCCGGTTAAGCGAGTTCATAAATCGCATGCGCGTTAGAATTGAGTACGAACAAAAAAATTACGGTCAATCTATTGCCATCGGCAAATCCAAAATGGCCGCCCCCTACGTGCGTCGGCATGGCGCGTCGGCCATTTCTGCTTATGTGTTTCCCATGTGCGGCACTTCGTACGTGTGCTGAGGAGTTGGTCATCTAGTAGTGCATTAGCATCGACGGCGTGGAAGGGCTGACTCCAAAAACTCGAGTGCAACACGATGCCGCTTTTAAAAGAAAAATCATGTGTGCAAAAACGGACGGAAATCGGGCCGCATCGCGGTCGTTCGGAGTTCTTAAAACGTGCGTGCGGGACCGGCGGAAACAAAAGCAGAAGATTGTCAACAGCAAAGCTTCACGCAAAGGCTTCAGTGGACCACAGCAGGGTCGGTTTCCGCAAATTAAAGAGCTGCTCGGCGAGCTTGAGCAGCGAGTGGCACAGCGGCCCGTGACGACAGAACTGCTCCAAGTGCGGGCTATGCAATTAGTCTTAAAAAAAGGTCTGATGGGAAGCCAGTTTTAAGCGAGCAGGTGCTGGCTAACTAACTTTATGAAGAGGAAAAGCTTTTCCCTCCGAAGGGGAACATGCATATGCGAAAAGTTTTGCGGAAGAATACGATGAAAAGCTTCACAGTTTTCAGGGGTTCGTCCTAAACTTGCGGCGCAACAACGGCTACCTGCTTGGGCAAATCGGGAATGCCGATCAGACGCCTCTTTACTTCGTCATGCCTGGCACCACAACCGTCGAGAAGAAGGGGGCAAAGCAAGTTCGCGTGCTGATATCGGTCCACGGTAAAACTACAGTGACGGCAATGCTCTGTTACACGTCAGATGGGCACAAGCTTCGCCCGTACCTCATATTTAAATGGAAGACGCTCACGAAAGGAGTCGTTTTTTCGAAAGGTGTGATCCTGCGGGCCAGCGAGAAAAATGGGTGCACGTTGCAATCGATGTCTTACGTTTTTTTTTTTCGCGGTGGAAATTGGGTGCGCGTTACAATCGAGGGCGCGGTAGAATCGAGTAAATACGGTAACTTATTTAGACGTGAATGTTTATACTGGTACTCAGAATGAGTAACCAAGCAAAATGTGCAGTGTCCAATGAGTTGTCTTGGTTGATAAGCAATCAGTTAGTCTGTCATGCCTTAGCCATGCTAGCAGTCAAAGGATGCTTTGTGAGGAATAACGAAACAATAATAGAAGTCACTGCAAGGAAAGAATACACAACAGCAAACAACTATTTCAAATTGTTGCTGATACAATGAAATGTTGGAGGGGTCTGTTCATAAAATGTGGTCCATGCATTGTTGCAGCTGTAATTGGGAATAAACAACTAAAAAGGCATAAAAGAGAGGCAAGTCATAACACAGTCATTTTTGGCAAATTGTAAATTCTTGACCCAAGCAATAAACAATAAATGAATAATTAAACATATGCACATTGCAAAGTTATTATGTTAGTTTTAGGCTTGTACGAATATTCAAGTGCTTTCATTATTCAAACAAACATCACAGAAAATTTTCGAAGTGTTTGAAATGAACGAAGAGATGTATATTGTACTCGGCGACAACTTTTCTTGGCACTGAAGGGAAAGCTATGGAGGCGGAGCTTCTGCACATGTAGCACTACATGAAGTAGTCCGTTTTCGCACACGTCTCGTAACGCTATGGAAAGTGATGGGGGCGCACTATTAGCGCTTCATGTAAATGGACACACTGCTTAGCGTTTGAGGTGCCCTATAAAAAGGTGGGACTTTCTCGCACGTTTGAGAACGCTAAGTGACAATGAATAAATGAAAGTAAATATGGCTATCTTATTGGTGGGAGCTGCGTCTTGTCTGAAATAGCTCCACATAAAAAATAAAGGGGGAACTTGTATATGTCACCGTGAATATACGGGTGTTGTTGTGGAACTACATTCACTGGCAGTAGGATGCCCGCGATTTGGCTCTGTAGCCCTTGCTCCAATGCCAAGAAAAGTTGTTGCTGAATATAGTCCACATGTAACCCCCTGTAATATGGTTTCACTGCAGTATAGAAGTGCTAAGCCACTAAAAACACCTGGCATGTTAACCCACGTAAAAGTGGTTTCACTGCAGTAAAGAATTATTAAGCTGCGAGAACACCTGCCTCCAAGAAAATCTACCTTGTCGCGAAGCCCCATCTTCAAGTTTAAATGAAATTTCTATACTCACATCGATTCATAATTTTTTGTTTAAAAGCTTGCAGCACCCGAGTTACTTCCTCTTAGTAAATTTCGAAACAGCATATTTCACAGGTTATCCCTTGTATTCTACAGAGAGTCAAATTCGCCCCTGCCGCGGTGGTCTAGTGGCTAAAGTACTCGGCTGATGACCCGCAGGTCGTGAGATCGAATCTCGCCCGTGGCGGCTGCATTTCCGATGTAGGCGGAAATGTTGTAGGCCCATGTGCTCAGAATTGGGTGCACGTTAAAGAACCCCAGGTCGTCGAAATTTCCGGAGCCCTCCACTACGGAGTCTTTCATAATCGTACGGTGATTTTGGGACGTTGAACCCCACATGTCAATGAGAAAGTCAAATCCTACTACTACTTAACATTGTGAACACTTCTTTTGAAGCAAAAAGAATGTCATCTGCACAAGCATTGTTTTTATTTTTAAAAAAATATTTTGCGAAATAGTTGGGTCATGTGAAGTATGCCTATTTTTCTTTAAAATATGTAATATATAATATTTATAAGTTTGATTTGAAATTGTTCCACCAAAATCACTATTAGCTTTGAACACAAAATTCACAATTGGCTCAAGCCTAATAATTTCGATTTTCTAAACATAGCTAAGATAAACAAAGGTACTTACCTAACCCATGCTAAGGAATCAATGCTTTCGTTTGAAGATGTATAAAGTTTATTGAATGGAAGCACTTCGGAGTTGACTTCTGCACACAAGAAATGAAGCTCATTTTAGAAAAGCAGAGAGAACAAGAGATGAGGTGAAGAATGAAATAAGACACAGGCACTAGGATAGGTAACACAATCAACAGAAAAGAGCGATTTAATAAACGCAGTGATAAGGGCCCTTGAAAACAACAGCTGCTTACAGCTGTCGCGTACAATGTCGCAAACTTGCTGGTAAATTTGCATTCTGTCTTAACTTGAAACATGCAGCGGTATGTTCACTGCCACTGGTAATCCCACCCCCGAAAGCAAGTCTCCAAGCACCTGCATTGCGATCCATCGAGTCTCACAAAATTGGGGTGAGTGAGCATTATCTCTTTCATGCCTGACAGCCTGAAACCTTCAAGATATCTCCAACAGCAATTTTGTACAGGCTGCTTCTGACGACCCAAGGCTAGGGAGAAAAGTTCAGCACTAGAAAAACGAACACCAACCAGAAGTGTGCCAGGTGATGGACAGAGTAACCCAAAAATAAGTGAATGTGCTCCGGGAGAAAAGCGTGGACAAAATTATGCCTCATCCTCATATTTACTGGGTAAAATGATGGCATTGCTATTATTAGTGTTGCAGAATGTTACGCAGTGGCAGCATGTGCGTTTTCGTAGGTCTTTTATCAAATTGTTGCGGAACAGAGGAGCGGCAGCCTCAATTTTTTGCGTCGCATTGTTAGCTCCGGAATGAAAGATATGCAATGCTCAGCGAAATCGTGTCACATGCTACCAAAAAGATTTTTCTTTTTTTTTTAAATCTATTTGAAGATTTTTGACGGCCAGCATGAGTGTGCCTTCGGGTTGGTGCGTGGTTGACAGTCAGTGGCGATTCAAGCTATTCAGAGTAGACACCGAGGGAACGATCAAGTGATTCGGAGAACACGTGGAGGGGAGCAGGGGAGGGGCACTATGGAGAAGCCGCCGTCGCTGCGCGGTGGACTTAGAGCTTCAGAAGTACACAACTGAACATTGCTGCCAAATATTAATATTTTATGGAAATGTATTACAAACAGCTCTATAAGGTTATATTTAGTTTTTACAATTGCATGCGTAGAAGCTGGAAAATTAGTAGGGAACGTATCAACGAGGTTCTACTTGGTTATATGGCAACAGTTTGCGAGTAGTAGTGATAACCAAACAAGAGGCCATACCTGTGCTTCCGAACAAGCTTTTGAGGACAGCCGCCTGTTTGTTTGCAAGCTTTTTGCTCTCGAACTGTTCCTTCTGTTCAGTTTCGAGCATGACTTTGAGAGCAGTCTCCTCCTTCAAATAATCTGAAAGCTGATTTTCAAGAAGGCGGTGCACAGATGAGAACCCTTCTTCAAAGTTACTATCTGCTTCTGGAGCGACGTAGAGACCTACAAACAAGAAAAAAAAGAATAGAATGATTAGTTAGTGAAATTCATAGTGCTACTCTTTAAGCAACATACAACACAATTCCCAGCCTTTTTTTAAAATTTACTGCGTTTCACACAACACCTTCAGTGCATAACATATTATCAATCCAATGCAAAGGCATCTAAATAAACAATGCTCCTAGTCCTCAAGAGTAACAGAGAATTGTTAAAAATTGTCTGCAACATTACTTATTATTAAAACCACAAGACATTACTATTAACGATTGCTTTATTTCATCTGCTTTTCTCCTTCATACACGTGAATGAATAAAACTTGTTGTTTTCTACCACATACCTGTTAAGTGTTACATTAACATGGTAAATGTAACATTCAGTGACAGGGATGGTATAAAAGTAACAAATCATGCAGACACAATTAAGGGCACCACATTTTGCTGGTTGATGTAAACAAAATGTTCAGTACTTTTTAATTTTGTAAATCAAGAAATACCGTAAAAGCTTGGCTGTGTCTCGGTATAAGCCTCACTTTATAGTTTTTTAGTGATAGGTGAACTACAAGAGCACATGCACTGCATCTATAGTGCGCAGAATGACAAAGTGGACAGCTTTAAGGCCACAGTAAGGTATATGTGACCCATGCATTTCAGAGCCAGGTGAAGATTCATGTTTACAGAGTCCTTTGCTAGAACAGCTCCATATCATTACACAATTCTGCAGTACAAGATAAAAAAAACTAACCGGTTTATTTTTTTTAAAGCTCACAAATACCTTTAATAAAAACACTAGTGTCTTAAAACTAAGGTTCAATGTTAACGACATGCAAACCTTTTTGCTGATAAGATTCTTTGCGAGCGGCCCGAAGCTGTTTTATGGCTTCCAGCTTATCAAGATATTCTCTTGTACTGGCTAATTTTGAACCGTATTTCTCCCAGGATAGAGTCCACTTCCTCTTTCATTTCTTCTTCCTATTGGCACAGTAAAAGTAAACACAATGCATCAGTATCAACAGTCTGAGAACATATCTTATAAACTCATATAATCCACTCAAACCTCAATGTAAGGAACCCAGATATAATGAAATATCAGTTATAACGAAGTAAATGAAAAATAGTCTTGCAATAAATACAGTGTTAGGAATATACCTTTATAGAGAATTTTCGAATATAACAAACTTATTTTCGTGTAATATGCAACTTTATTATAATGAGGTTTGAGTGTTATTGCGCTTCTTCAGAACGTCGCACCAGATTCGACGCGCAACTGTTGCGTCAAATATGAAATGTTTTAACGAAACATTTAATAAACATCTATACATGTTTATGCACAAAACAAAACTACTGGGAAAACAAAACTTGATTTCTGCATAAACAACTGCGGCAGATGTACACATGTGTTCAGCTAAACCGCTGTCTGATTCTAGTTCAAATGACACACAAAGGAAGGATGTTGCTGTAGCATCAGTTTAGAATTATGTCTCCAGCCATTATTTGATTACAGTGAAACCTCGTTAATTCAATGTAACTGGGGCTGCCAAAAAGCTTCGAATTAAGCGGGTTTTAGAATTAACAGAACCTACAAGAAGTGGGATGCAAGGAACTTGGAACTATTCAAAGTAATCAGTGCTTGTCGTTTGCTGTGCCGGCTAGCTTGCGGCTCCTAAGGTCATGTTATTCAGCAATATATGGTCTTTATTTTGCCGCAAACATGGAAGAACAGTGGGCCTCGCTGCTGCCACAGAAAAAAAAAAAAGAAAAAGCGCAGTCGTGAACGACTGAAATGTGCGCCCACAGAAAACAAGACATATTCCCTGCAACACAGTTGTGACATGCGGGCAGCATGTCGCCTGCTCCTCGCTCTGTCAGCACGTCATCATGGGACCATTCGCACATTCGTTCTACTATAATTATGAATTTTATAATTGCCAGTATGACGAAGCTTACGATGTGTTTTGGCTGGAAAAAATTATCTTTGAAACTTTCAAACTTAGTTTTTGAAGTAGGTGTTGCTGACAAGAACTCTATCACCAGTGCAAAGACACGAATTGCTGGAGCAACCGGCGATCGGAGGTTCACATACATCGCGATTTTAGCTAAACTGTCCTTTATTAATTTCTTTACAATTCCAGAAAGAATGGGTAAACCACGACCCGCTGAAAATGCGAGAAAAATGCGGTAAGCTGCCCGCGTGTCACCGCTGTCCTGCAGTGAAGCACTAGCTTGTTTTTTACAGGCGCACATTTTGGTTGACCACGAGGCCGTTTTTTCTTCTTTCTTTTTTTTTTTTGCGCTGGAAGTAGCGAGGCTGGGGTGCTTCAGCTGCCACTCGTTAGGATCGATACGTTGCATTGCCTTGTGGCTATTGATAGCCGTCGTTCCACGGATTCGCGGCGAAATCGGGATATGGAACTGGCACACGACACCTAAAGTTTTCGAATTAACCGGACTGGTGCCGGCCGACGCTTCAGATTAACCACTTAAACTTACATTGCAAAACACAGGATAGCGGCAATCCTTTGAATCAAGTGGGATTTCGAAATAACTGAGTTCGAATTAATGAGCTTTTACTGTATATTATTTAGAGAAGGCTAATAAACACACCATAGACAATAATGTCCCTCAAGAGACATTTATTTGTGTGCGACAGAGATATGGCCTCATTTTACGACTTTTCCACACTATGGTGAAAGTTGCGACCCACCATACAGCGTAGAGAAATCTATCTTTCTAGGCAGGCATGGCTACAGGTTTCATTTCATCAATTTCTTTTTTCTCTCAAGAGCACAAAGGCATTGCAGTTCCGAGAGATGGCTTGGTTACCAACTGATGAAGTGCACATTGATTTTACTGTCAAAAGAGAAGTATGTGGTGCTCATAAACCTGGCATTAGGCTTAGTCCACTGCAAAATACTTGATCTGAGAGACAATTTAGCGAAAATGAGTCGGCAGTTCAGCTAGAGTACTCGTGTACAACTGGCCCTCACTTATGAAGAACATTGCATATTCCCATGTAGAGATAACTTATAGCTAGAATTTCGTATAGGTGCTCTTAATTTATCCCTCAATATTAAATACTAAAGCTAAATGTTAGGGTGCAAGAACAGGAGCATAAAAGAAGAAAAAGAGTTTTGTCTAGTCTTTCGCTGTTCTCTAGTCTGTATTTCTACGACGAAACTTCCTTTATGATGAATCCTTACTGACTAGAACACTTTTCTACTGTTCTGAAGCAACAGCTGAACCTGATTTAGCATGCAGGGGTAGAATTTAAAAATAAGGTTTCTACAGTTCAGGCTTACTGGCCATCAAATTGAACAGTGCTGCTACAATATAAATGTCCTTGTGGCATTTGACAAAGTATACAGGTTCACTGAGAAACTTTTCTGCACCAGTAGGAAATAAACAAATAAATGAAGATCCTAGCAAATGATGACTTGAAAGTAGCACTGCAATAGAGCTGCAGATGGCTTTTGCATTTTTTCAAATGAAACAGGTTAGTGCTGCACTGAAGCATTAACATTAAATAAAATGCATCGTAACCCTCAAATATGGCACTATAATTGTGTGCAAACGAGCTGGCAGTCTAAACAAGGCAGCAATTCATTGCAAAATTTTTATCATGATGACATTCGGAAACTGTTCGACCAACATTTCATTTATCTTTTCTATCCAGAGTAACAAAGAAAAGAAAATGACAAAACTACCCAGAACGATATAGTGGGATTATTTTTTGGGGGCAAGCTGTAAGAGTTTCAAATTTATACTTGGACCTTAAAGTGTGGGTTTAAAAGGGGACAAAAGTTCTATCCAATTCATAACAACAACTATGCATAATTAACCATAACATCCTTTTGCCTCAATTATAGTTAAGGTCACCGTTAAATTGCACTAATTCATTAAACATTTTGCTGGTGCAGCTTATACAGGTTTATCTTGGTTGTAATCACTGCATCTGTTGTTTAAATGAATTTCTCTAAAGACTAGATCACAACTTCTGTTTTTGTAGCCACAGCTTGTGTGGCAATCGTCACCCCATCTTGGAAGATTCTGCTGGGTGTTTCTGCCTTTTGTCTTCTCCTCCCAAGCATAATAATGTAAATATGAATAGAAGTCTATTCAATTCGATCTACAGAAAAGGTTGCTCATTAGAAACTGCTGTGACATGTTTACTGTACCACAGCAAATCACCTGTCTTTCTTGATTTGCTCGCTCCAATATCCGTTGACGGCGTGCATTAATTTTGGCTTCGACCATGGCAACCTGCTTGGCATGCTCTTCAGCTTCTTGTTCTCGTCGTACACGCTGTCGCTTCAACCTCTCCTAGACAAAAAATGAAAAAGCTTTAGAGATATGTAGTATTACAAGAATGTTTACATTCAGCTTGTGCAAATAGTGAACTTTAAGTTCGAAGCGAATAGTGATTTTGATCGAATAATTTCGAATCGGATTCGAAATATAACATATGAAAAAAAAAACAGGCATATTTATTATCACCCAACTAACCTGCACAATATCTTTTAAAAATTGAAATATCGCAAATGCCACTTTCTTTTTTCGTTCAAAAGAAGCAAAAAAAACTTTGAGTAGTAGCAGGATTTGACTTTGGCAGGATGCGAGTCATAACCCTTATAATATGTAACATATTTAAGTTTATATATACGAATTTAAGTTTATATTATATTTAACTTTATATTATACACGAAGCATATAAGCCATTATAACAAGCTTTTTAGCTTAATAAAATGAATTAATTTGAGGGTAATATTTCTATTTAAAGGGGCCGTGCGACACTTTTTCAAGGAGCCATGGAATGGATTACTGAAGAAGCTTATTGCTTAATGAATTCACGGCCTGAAAAATTCTTAGAATCCTTCCAGTAGGCGCGGAGCTGCAAAGATTTGTCGCACGCTGCAACTGAATTCTCTGTTCTCGTCCCAACGAAAGTGCTGAAAGCTACGCCGGGAGGGATAGCACTAGGAAAGAAAATACGTCACACATGCTTTCCGAGCTTGTCGAGTCATTTGCCGAGACAAGAGAGCAATTTTCTGCTGACTTTGAGACTTTGTTATGAATCGCACGCCACGTGCTACACTATAATGTTTGGCTTGCATGCTTTCGGTAGCCTCGACTACCGATCCGCAGCATTTTCTAACAATGCTCAAAAAATGTTTCAGGGCCCCTTTAAATTTGAAGAAGGGCTTCACGGCAACGCGAATTTCTTCCTAAACAGATGCTTTCACGTTTTAGCACCCCTACACCGCACTGAAACTACCTTTACAGGGGGTACATTCGAAATTGTATGCATTTATTCGTTCCTTGCGAATACTTCGAAATTTTTCATAATGTAAATTCGAATCGAAGCGAAATCGAATACCTTCCTATTCGTTCGAATATTCGAAGCATTCGAATATTCACACAAGCCTAGTTTACATGAACACAATAAGTGTAAGCAAACGTCCCATGACTAAATGAAGTAATTCAGTGATGCTGGTAAGAATATGCGATTTGAAAGCATTTTTGGGGCTGTAAAATTTTGATTTCGTAGCACATTGAAGTACATAATTTTGAATTTAAGCACACTTCAGAGCGCTCTGAAGGAGCAATTTGCATTTGGCACTTTCTGATCTGAACGAGCTCTTGATTTATGCCAGCTATCAGATAATAGCTGCAATCAGGTGTTGTATGGCCTACAGCTGGCAATGTACTTTGCAAATAAAGTAGGAAGAAGGGGCGAGGGCACGAGCAACAACTACGGCCACTGGCTCGCTCAGTTGTTTTAATACCTTCGATATAGCTAGACGTCCAGGTCCTGGTCCCTCCTTAGCCTTTCTTACACATAGTTCTGGTACCGAAAACCACCTGGTCGTCTGGTCTTTGACTCTTGACCATGAATCGACTCTGAACATTGTGCCGATTTGAGTGAAAAGACATGAAACCACACATCTCAATGCTCGATGCCCTTTTGGCAGACTTGTCGACCCCTGATGAGAACCTCCAGAAAGTGCTTGCTTTAATTGTGGCGAAAAATAGCAAGCCAATCCCTTTGGACATCCAGATGGACACTGACACTCCACTGCCAACAACAGTGCACTTGGATGAATTTCCACGGCCTTCGAAAATCCCTAACGCCTTGGCATTGTCGTCGTCCTCGTTGATTGAGGAAGAAAAATCGTCGTCAGCCTGGCAGTATTTACTCAGCTCTGATGCACATGTGAACCAAGCAGATGCCAAGGACTACCTGGTTCCCAAAGGGGCAAAGCAGCAAATGATTATGCAGCACATGCAGAAGCTTCAGATACAATGCCAGCAGCAGTTGACGAATATGACTCTCAAGGAGTATGAACGTTATCAAGAACCCTCACGAATCTGTGAAAAATACTGCCAGCAAGTCCAGAACTAGTAACATCAACAGCAAGCGCCGATGCAGCATCGCCAGCAACTTCAGCAGGAGCACATACAACAGCACAGCCAGCAACAGTCTCATCATTCGCTCCTACAGTCGCCCGCTGAATCATTCATTTGCGAAGTACGAGGACCTAAGCCAACTTATGCTTTTGCACTTCCTGCTTCGCTGTAGGAGGCTTCTCTCCAATTTGACTCATTCACATCTTGTTCACAAATGCCCGCCTCAACTTCTGCCACTCCACACATAAACTTTGTCGCAAGTTTGCCAGCTATGGGAGTACGCTGCTAAGAAAGGAGGGAGAAGGAGCGTGGGCAAGAGCAACAGCCTTGGACGCTGGCTTGCTCATATGTTCCAATACCTTCTACACAGCCAGATGTCCAGGTCCCTCTTTCACGTTTTCTACACTTCGTTCTACACTTAACGAAGTGAGTGAGAACAGGGCCTCTGTCTGAAAAGAGGGCAATTGAGGAAGTGGCAACTTCACGCCTCCCTTGTAAGCTATACATGCCATGCACACCTGCAAACTTTGGCTTAACTGTTCATAGCAGTGTCTGCTGTTTGTAGGATGCATTCTTTCACCAAGCCTGAGGAGTGTATCAAGACCACTTTAAGCACTAAAACCTACGGAGTAAGTGAATTAAGAAGGACTCAAGTATTTCTGATTCACTCAAGTGACTGCACTATGAAGCACTGTGGGCACAATCCTATCACTTGATTACTAGAAACAGAGTTAACAAGCTTACAAAAAAAGAAACCTGCTTTCTGCTTGTTCTCCAGCACAATACGTAAAACACCACAGTTAAAGTATGTGCCACACTGTGCAGCCATTGCTATAAGACTCTCAACACACTGTCTATATTTATATCTATACTTATGACCTTTAGACTATACGAACATGCAGAGCAAAGAGCTAATACAACAGAAGGGCTATGGAACTAGCAAACATGACAAAAAGAAAAAAGAAGGTCCCAGAGTCAACTCGGATATATATATAGACCAGTTTTACGATACATTTTAGCAACACAAGGTGCATCACATAAAAAAGGCAAGCATTCTAGCTGCTCACTGACACAAAAAGAAAGCCCGCGTGAATGTACCCTTTTCTTTCGTCTTCGCTCAACTGAAGTAAGTAGTCGAGACAGAACATCCTCCTTGGAGAGCTGTTGACATCGTGACTGGAGCTTTGCCTGAGAGAGAGTTGGAGAATAAATAGGTTCATCTTTTCATTTCAAAATTCAACAGTGGGAATAACAAAAAGTGCACATGATTGCACATGCACGATACACAAGTAGTACAATGTTTTCATTTTCACGCTAAGCTTGTAAATTGTAGGGTAGTGTAAGATAGGTAGTTGTGCGAAGAAGTGCTCATGTTTGAGGAAACTAAGCTAGCCATTTTAGTTGAGCTCTAGAGCTCCGATGATACACATAAATCTACCAGCACTCTTTTCAATGCTGAGAGCAAGAGCAATCAGCATGCAAGCAATAGGCATGACAAGTATACAGAAGTGCTGCAACCCTCTGTCATGCAACATATTTACAACAAAGGATACTATACATGTAGTTCCTCTCTCATTGTTCAGGAGCTTGAAAATTGCAAATTAAAGTAATTTGAGAATGCAAAAAAAATATACACATATTGCACAGAAGATATCTCAACAATATAGCTTCTATAGGCAGGCATGATAAACAAACACTACAGCAAAAAAAAAAAATGGGAAGGGGAGGGGTGGCAGACAATAATGAGTTGTGTCCTAAAGAAACATGGCCACTTAAGGCAAATCTAAGAAAGAAGACTGGGTGAGTAAATATGGCTCTGTACAATAATCTGTCAGATGGCAGTCGGCAAAGGCCATATTGAAAAATGCTTTGAAACAGAGTTTGTCTTTGCACACCTCGCTTGTATGTCAATAACAGGTAATTTAAAAATGGCATGCACTTGCACTGCCAGCACCATGCTTCTGAAGTTTATGGGGAAGTTTCCTAGCATGTGCAAGAGTCCACTGCTTATCAAGAGTGCTGGTGACATGCAGGATTCTATAAATAGAAAGAATGAGAAAACTTCAACCAAAATATTATTAGGAAAACCCCACGTTTTGAAGCCAGTCTTGGCTTCTTCCTCGAAGGTAAGAAAGCCCTGAGGAAGAAGTCACCGTAACTGTGTCTTAAACAATCTTCACATATGCTAAAGCAGTAAAAACAAAGTTCTAACCTGGTGCAGCTCAACATGCTGCATGAGTGCCGACCACTGTTCATCGTTTCCCCGCCGAACAAGGCTTTCAGCCAATTTTTCCAGACTCTTCAGAGTTTCCAGGGCTTCTAGTGCTTCTCTAAGCACAATCAGGGGCTGTAATAGTTAACAATGGTTTTAAAACTCGTCCCTCGGGAAATTCTCGATTTGAACATCATCACAGAGAGCTGAAATGTGAATAAAAAGGGCCCTGCAACACTTTATCAGCATGGTCATAAAACACTGCTGATCGGTAGTTGAGGCTACTGAGAACACACGAGTGAAACATTACAGTGCAACGTGCGGCCCGGAATTCACAATTGATAGAAATCGCTTCCCTCTTCCCTTGAGAAATGATGCCATACACACAAATTACTGTGCCATAAACATACGTTCAGTGATCATGCTGAAATGGCTATGCATTACACGAAAAAATTAAAAGAAATTGCTCTTCATCAAGATGTGCGCTGACCATGGGGCAATCTGCCTCCCTGCGTAGCTTTCAGCACGCAGGGAGGCTGGGTACGAAAAGAGAGAGAAAGTGATTAATGCACGCAGCGAATCCCTGCAACTCTGCTCGTACTTGACGGATTCTAAATATTATTCGAGCAGTTGATTAGAGAGGCAATAAGCTTCTTTAATGAAGCAATTAGATGATTACTTGGAAAGAGCGTTGCAGGGCCCTTTTACCAGAAATAGCACTGCTTGTGGTACAGCTGTATAGTACAGTGACTGTCTCGGGTAACATGTGACTAGAAAGACTGCAACATAAAACCCAGATTTAAAAGGACACTTATCACCTGTTTGGGCACTTCAATCAAACAAATGCTTCATTGAGGTCCTCCGTGTCCTGGTTACAGGAAAACTGTTGAGACATTGAAAATGTCCTCAGTTACTGTAATGGTACTATGCTGCTCATTACCTCAAGAGAAAGTGACAATCCTGTTGAAAGTAATAATTCAGCAATACAAAAAGAGCTGCACGACACAATAGTTGTTTTAATTTAGGCACACATTTGCCTTGAAGATTTCTAGTTTGCTAAGCCAGTATCAGTATACTAATGGTGACGTATGGTGCAGTATCGTATATGCAGTGCCTGACTTTTTTTATAACTACACAGAGCGCAGAAATGTTCTTAAAGAAAAGGAGGAGCATTGTTAATAACTCCAGCAAGTGAAAACTCAAGATCGACATTTATAACGCAGCCTTACAGCACAACCGAGAATGCTTAGAAAGTCTCCAGATTTTGTTCTCGCAAAAGTAGGCCACCGTGGTCTAGAATCGATGACACTTGTGTGTTAATAACTAGCCTCTTCGGTGGCCATAGAATAATTCACCTCTGATCAGCACACAAAAACAAGCCATAGGAACTAAATGCGATGCTCTTACGGATGTTTCCTCTTTAGCAGTTGACACCTTCTCCTTCTTGATGGAACTCTGTTGGCTCAATTCATACTGCTTGACTTTCTTCTGCAGCCACTGTGGTAGCCTCTTAGCCTGCGTGTCATCCGTCGACGCTTCCTCTGGTGGTATCTCGCTTGTGAGCACATTAACATGCTGCGTAGGTGGTACACTATTCATCCATGGTGGTGGTCTAAGGGCACTGTTTTCAGGAAACTGAGGAGGAGGCTGTAGCGGTGGTGGCTGTAGCGGTGGTGGCTGTAGCGGTGGTGGCTGTAACGGTGGTGGCTGTAACGGTGGTGGCTGCAGCGGCGGTGGCTGCAACGGGGGTAGCCTCATTGGAGGTGGCTGCAACGGGTGTTGCTGCAATGGGGGTTGTGGCTGAGGTACACTGGGTGGTGGGTAAAACTGCTGCGGTGCAGGTGGTGGCACACTCGGTGGAGGCACACTGTAGGGAGACTGCAGTGATTGGCCCCGAGGTGCAGTGGGCCATGTTTGGAACCTCTGGTTAGGCAGAGTTGGCTGTTCATTACCTCCAAAACCCTGATTGCTCTGAGGCAGTGGAGGTGGCAGCTGATGTTGATGCCAAAATGCCATTGCCCTGCAGGAAAATGCGTCATATAATTTCAATGCTCGTGATAAGTTACTTTACGTGAAAATTTAAACTATCCCAACTAACACTGAAAATGTTCTTATTACTATTATGTCTCCAGTGAAGTGGGATATTCTATATATGTACCACAGGGACATCCATTTTACCACTACCAACGTATGTGCAATGCTTTATTATTATTATTCGTAGTGGCGAAATAGAAACAACCCTTCGCACTGAGTACGTGTGGCATATTCGGCCATGCCAGATATTTTACTCCGTCTCCTTTTTTTATGCAAATAAACTTTGTTATTTGACCTTTAGGGGCTATTGACTACGCTTAATGTTCACCGTTGCCACTTCTCGACCCCACAGTGACCATGTTAAGCCGCCTTTTTTGCTGATCGCACCAGTCTGCTCTATGCGATTATTACGCTACAGTCAACACACGTTAGACATTTCTCAATACACAGGCTACAAGTACACGAGCGTGCATCATTACGCGCGTATTTCGAACACTTCTTTCGAGATTTCACTGGACAGGACAGAGTTCATAAAAAGATCTCAAGCACAAACCACCTGCCAATTATAGTAGAGGCGGCTAGTAGTGCCAAGAACTGTTAGATACCTTACTCGAACAAGCGTAGATTGCGTTCTGCTCCAACTACTTGGGCGATGAGCGGCGACACGGCACAAACGACTCTTAAGGCGTTGCTCTAATCCGGCACTTCCGACCTATCTGTGCCGCTAAACAAAGCTCTCACTTGTAGATCGCAAATCTCAATCATCAGCATTTAAATTTATTGCAATCGAATCAATTAGTAGGAGCAGTTAACATGCATCACACTGTTTTAAGATCGTGATAACACGCGATCGTGGAGGAAGATAAACGCCACAACAGAAACATCGCGTTGTGGAATCAGTCAAATCACATGGCAATAAAATCAATATATCAAAATTTTATGTACAATTTTGTGCAAACATACAAATAATATATAAATTTTGAACTTGTTATAGATAATAAAAATTCTCTGTAATAAAATAAACGCCAATCTATGAATCACGTGCAGAACTGCGTCTTTTCTTCATCTTCGCTTCGCTGGATTGTTTGCCGGCTTCGCTGACATCGACTCCGACTTCGATCAAAGCACGAAAAAATAAACAAGAAATGGGTAGCAACGAGACTTGAGCCCTCGCTAATACAGCAGATTGGCCTGAACGAGCTCTAATTTGCCGCAGTTGCTTCCCGTAGCGCGATTCTAGGACATAGTTGATAGAAAATCAAGCCTTGTAATGACTGTTATTTCTGTTTTTACCTACGCTCATCGCACATTGCCAAGGGCTCGTCGCTTACAAGGCGACTGCGATGTCACTTTCGGCATGGCTCGGTGCCTCCTGTGGTGAATGCTAGAGTCTGTGTCTTCAAAGGAGCATCAAAGAAAAGGACATCGAACAGGTAAAGCTCGAGTCTACTTGCTGCGTCATATATGGCGCAGTCGGCAAAGTAGATCGCAAGTAGTCTCTTATGCTGTTGCCAAGTGCGACTTTTTTGCAAGCACATTTTTGCAAGCTGGCTCTCGTTAATTGAAGGCCTGTGTCTGCATATAGTGTATCGCTCGGATTTGGTTACTCTCTATACAAAGGCGTGCTATTTAATTACATTGCCTTATGTTTTCCGCGCGTAAGCACCTAACGGTGTCGATGTAGACGGAAAGCCTCAGCTGTGATTTAGGTGCGCGTTAAAGAACCATAGCTGGTCCATAGGAATCTGGACTCCCTCACTACAGGGTTCCTCGTAATCACTGTCGTCCTTTGTGCACGTAAAACCCGAGAACGAAATACTTGTTTAAAGAAAGCGTCTGCAATTTGCTCGGCTGCCGGGATCTGTACAAGTCTTCTGATGTGCCTCTGATCACGCTTTCCTATTTCGCAGGTTCATGGCTACCATGGAGAGTGAATCGCTTGCCGAGCGCATTTTGCAAGATCTCGGAAACGTCTTTAAGAAGGAACCACTTGTGTACGTGCTGCACGTGTCTCGACTGTTGCTCATGTGACTGTACACCACATCTCTGCATGTGCCATGAATATGCCGCTCAGCAAAAGGCGCTTAAGTGCACGATTAATTGTCTGGAATCGCGGCCAATTTTCGGAGGAGAAACATTTGGTTACATGGAGACATGTTTACCATACGTAATGCACGTTAAAAGTCATGATGAACTTCCCAAGTGGACAGATGTAGATTTTCGTCTCTAGAGTGTGTGCTATACGAAGACTTTTGCGCGTATTAGGTAGCACCCACGTGTACATAGGACGAAACATGTACAGTTAGTCATACTACAGCACTGCTACCTGCACCTGTATCTCTCCATTTCTGTCTTCTTGTTTCCCGTTATTCTATTGTGAGGAGTAGCAGGCCAGAGGCATGCTCTCTAGGCCTACCTCTCCTACTTTCTCCTCAATTATTATCTTATTCTCTATCAACCCTGAGCACATATCTGCATCTTTTGTCCGTGTTTATAATCAACTGTATAATCAATGCGGATGTTTGATTTAAAGGAATTTATTTGTTATGGCTGTGTGGTGTGGCAGTAAGCAGCATTTAAATAAGCTAACAAGCATTGACTACTCTGACAGGAAGGAGTTCGACGTGGTTCCAGTAAGCAACTCGTCCTGCAATCGCAGTCCAGTGGTGTGTGTGGATGGTCATTTGGCTCTTGGAAGCTGGTGTGTTCCTCATGTGTATAGTTACGCATACACAAGGCTGATTGAAGCACGCAACAACATTGCAAGGCATGGTGAGTGTATTGCTTGCACATCACAATGCACCGCTTGAAAGTTGGTGGGATTTATTGAAACCAAGACAGAAAATATGTAAAATTCATGGCATTCATTGAAATATTCACAGATGTGCTGTGTACATCCCAGTAACCCTTCCCCTTTCTCGTGTATGCAAGAACTGTGAAGCCTTGGTGATTCTTATTTCAGTAATTTTCACCTGAGAATATGCCGTGGCTTTTTGTCATGTTGTATTGGTTCAACTTTTATACAAGAACAATGCAGAAGGAAGCTAAAGTAACAGAGGCAGTGAATTATTCCAACAACAAAAAGTATCTGTTTTATTGTAATCATCTAGGACAGCTGAATTTATTGTTTGTACTTTACATTGGTATGATTCCCAATGAAAAATTTGGGAAATGCAGAGGGTTCAGTATCCCATGTTTAACTGCTGATACTGTCATCTAGCATTGCAAAGGGCACTTTCCCATGGCGCATACACCATGCAGTCTTGATGAAATGTACTCTGCAGCCACTTTTTGAGGTTTAGGACTTCTGCTGTGACAAATAAGAAATAGTTTTTTTAATTACTAATATAATGCAATATGTAGTTGTAGCATCTCCATAAAGCACAAGCTTTTTCATGCCTGTCCCATGTTTTCACCAGATTGTTTAACAGGGCAGGCTATAACTGAAGATACACTGCATGCATTTGTTTCTCATATCTTGTCTATTGTGCCCTGTGAAAGCCGTTGCACTTGTGTAAATGGTTGCACACATTTATACGCAAGGAACAGTCTGGGCAGTGTATCCTAGAGATGTAGCGTATCGAATGGTGCGGGGTTTTAAAAAATTATTGAAAGGGTAATGAACTTGCCTAAGTGGTGGTAAATGTGCCACCTCAAACTACTGGGGAACTGTAGAGGAGATAAATGGCATTGTTTTGCTTTCACTTTAAAGTCCTAAATTATATGTGGTACTTTAAAGCACGGAGTCGACGCTCTCATGTATTGGTTGTACACAATGTTGTCAGCAGCTGCTGTAGTTTACGTACTATATTTGCAGACAAAGTTTTCAGTGCAAGCCAAATATTTTGACTCTTCAATTATACATAGCTCTATAGGATCTTTGTGCACATGCCTTTGGCTGCTAGGCCATGTTATGTTAATTATTACTCTGCATAAGACAGCTTTGGAGATAAACAGACTGACTTCTGCTTTATCAAAATTTTTAGGCTGTGTTTAAAATGTTTTGGATTGATTGCACTTTTTGGTATGATTGTGGTGTTTGAGGAGAAATGCAAATTCATTGCCATTCAACTTTTCCTCATCATTTCATTTTTGTGAGTTGTGTCGTGTTACAGGAATATTCTTTTTGCAGTGTTCTCTTCATCCAACTAAAACGATGTCTTGTTGAGATTTCCATTGTGATTCAGTGAAGTTCAGTTACTTTGTAATTTTGAATGAAGAAAAAATTGTTTGAACCAATTTGATTCATGTTTGTTTATATAACCAAAGGATAATTACTAAAAATATATATGAGTTTGTTCACCCAAGAGTTCAGTTTCGTGTATTCACAAGAGAAGTTGTGCTAAAATTATTCATAAGAGCAGATGAGAGCTAAGCTTCTGTATAGAAGGAACAACATTTCAACGCTGATGCTTAGACCACAAAAAATGCACAGAATAATGAAACTGCTGAACAATAGCACCACGCATACTCAAACCTTGATATAACGAACCCCATATAACGTAATATGGGTTATAACAAAATAAGTGAAAAATAGTCTTTGCAATAGATATAGTGTTAGAAATAAACCTTTGTTACGAATTTTGCCTATAATGAACTTATTTTCGTGTTAGATGCAACTTTTTTATAATGGGGTTTGAGTGTATATGGCAACATTTAAGATAAGAGGACTCGGTGCATGGAGCAATGGGGCTAACACACAATAGTTTGCCCTTTGCAGGAGCTAAACAGTTTTTATATAAGCTGTTGTATAGCTACATCAGTACTTCAGGTTGACTTATTACATGTGTTTGTGAGTATGTTACCTCACTCGCCTGCTTCCCATGAGCCAAATTCAAAAGTTAAATGCCATTGCCCCCATTCCTAAAACATTGACGAGCCAACGTTGATTTGCATTTAAAAGTGAGGTAGCATTGCCAAGGCTAGAATACAGGTAATGTATCGAGAAGAGATTGCTGAAGAAGGGGGCCAGACTCTACTGAAGAAATTTTGTCCTATAACTGCAAAGCATTTCCTAGCATTTTGGCCTATGGCGCTCTTACCGCATATAGCCTTCAACGTTGTGATGCTATTATTTGTGAGTAAAGGTGTTCTAATGGCTAAATTAAAGCTCTGGGCCATCATGTCACAGACCCAGGTGGAATAGATCACACTTAAGAATGTCCCTCGTGCAGGCCTGTGTGAATTGGCCCCTGCAGTGACTCAATGGCTACAGTGCTTGGCTGTTGGTTGAATCCTAGCCGTAGTAGTAGCATTTTCATGTAGTGAAAACACTAGAGGACTCTGTACTGTGTTATGTCAGTGTAAGTAAAGGAACCACAGTTTGAAATTGTCCGGGTTCGTCCAATATGGCCTTTCTTACAGCCCAAGTCACTTTGGGACATTAAACACCGCAAGTCGACCAGCCAAAAGCTTGTGCACCCAGGCAGCTGTTGCATTTGCAACAGTTGTGATGGTTTTGTGAGGAAACTTCGTCATGCAAGCAGTTGCATTGAGACGCTTCTCAGATTATTTACTGTGTTGACGATTTGCTTTTTCTTTAGTTTTATACATACACCATTAAGGTGCCAGATCCGCATCACTGCTTTGATACTGTTGATTCCTCTAATAGTCTAGTGCTGCTTGATCCCCGCTGAAACATGCCAACAAATACTGGTTGGGACGGATGCTGCCACTGAGCAGTTATCTCTTTCTGATTGAACTGATGTTTGCATTTAACCGCAACTGCCAATGCCATGTTTGACATTGAGCTAGACTTCAGGCAGTGTTCTTGCCTGTTATGCTTGTGTCATGCATGCAGCTTCACAACCTATTAAGGAGGCCAACCTCATAATGCTTGGAATAACTTTATATAATGCACTCTAGCAGCCTCCTTTCAGACTGCTCACATAATGTTGATTCTCACGGTGCATGTGAGCATCCGTAATCTTTAATTTTCTTAGATTTCTTGAGCTTTTTTAAGTAAAATAAGTTCTTGAAGTCTGGTTCAGTTCTGATTTTTCATATTCATGCAAATGTTTCTTTTGCGTCAACTTCGCATCCAGCATGTCCTAGTCCAAGCATATTGTCATGTGGTCGTGACGGTGGCAACGACAGCAGATTGTGTGTCCAAGACGAAACTGCTTATTTGGCTGAGCTTGTGGCCTGTGTACGAAAAGTCGAATTGGAGCAATACACACTGGCACTGATAGCGGTGAACAGAGCGTCGGCCGTCGGTCAGCTGACAAGCGGTGATGAGCATTGTCATTTATGCATGTGGTTCCAAATATTCTAGCATTATCGCTAGCGGCCACTTAAGTTCCTGAAGAATCTGTAATGTTCGGGTCTTGCGCACAATTCTTAGTATGACGGTGTACTACTACTGTGAAGGTTTTCGAACACTGAAGGCGCTTTTTCTTCTGAGCAATGCTGACAGTCTTTTGAGGCATAAACTGAATACAGCAAAATGAGAAATGTGCGTGACAATATTGAATACACCAGCCATAAAGCTCCGAAGAAATTGGGCTATAGTAATTGTAGGCTGCATCAATTGTACATTGGCAGTTGCTACATGCAAAACAATATTACATAAAAATGGCTCATTTTTTTCACTGTCGAATATGCCGAACCCATGTGGAACCCTATGAACATGAAATTGGCAAACTTAGCTACGTGCCCTTACCGTGGTCGTGTATTATGCTGGAACATGGGCTGCCGTGTGTAATTAAAATTTTATGAAACATAAAACATGAAAAATTAAGAACTGAAGCCACAACACTAAAAATCATAATTTTATATAATATGTAATCTTCTCTCCTTGCTGGACTTTTTTGCAAAGTTCATGCGCTTTCCTTAATTAAATTTTCTCTTTAAACTTCGACAGTGCATAATTTTACAAAGTGACCTAGTTCTGTGCATTATTGTTAAAGGTGTCACGTTCACAAGTCAGTGTTGTAACCAGATATCAGTTTGCACATTGTGGTTATCATCTTCACTTCTAACACTGCACAATTTTAATCTTTTTCAGAGAAAGATGTTGTTCTTGGATGGTCAAGAATAGTTATCCTCATAAATCCGGATGTACAGCTTGCCTGGAATATCAGGTGGGAAGCTGAGTTTTACAATGTGCGATGAAGTTCTGCAGGCACAATATGATAAATGATTTTTGACAAATGCAGTTTCCTCTCATTTAGGAAAGAGCTCTTCTTGTGCAAGCAGACAACGTTTCACGAGGAGCTTCAGTTTTCTCAGCTTGTTCTGACACGAAAGCCAAAGTGCTCAGAAGTATTCTCGCACAGGTGAGCCTTGGAACTACTACCCATATTGCTTTCATTTGCATGTTTACAATCTTTAGCTGAGTTAGAACAAACATACTAACGAAGAGAATCTTTGGCAGTTATGAAGAGCACTGTGGGATTTGTCATTGTAGATGAAGCGACTGCGTGCTTGTTCACTTTATAGTTCCGAGGTTATCTTTCATGGTTTTAGCTTCTTCTGGCATGCATGGTATTTTTCACAGCTAAAGCTTTCCATCACGATAGCAGACAGTTTTTTCTTCAAACTATAGCCAAGGGCCTTTGCACTCTAATGAAGTAACAAGCAGCTTTATAAAACGAGGAGCTTCAGATAATGTGTCAGATTCTGGAACTGAGGTCTTCAATTGAGAGTGGGATTGCGATGATGCCATCAATAGATGATGTTTACCCAAAGTGGCATAACCACTGGGCGACTTGTAAGGTTTGAACGACGTCATAATTTTTATGATATGTATGTGCATGTAGAAACACAGGCATGAACACATCGGGGTGATGAAACAAACGTGAACAGCAAGACGTGTCAAGGCTTTGCCGTTCGATTTGTTTTCATCGTGCTGTTACGTCGGTGTTAATAAAAAGATGCTACATTATCATGCACGACCTTTGTGGCTTTTTAATGGAGCAAGAGCCTTGTCTGCGTCAACAAATGGAAAATTTGACCGTTGGTACCTCGTGGTGTCGGGGGCAAACGATGCAACATACTGTATCACTATCACGTGATGACGTCGCAGATTGCTAAAGATTGTGACATTATTATTATTTTATTATATTTTAATACTGTCAACCCTCGCTTGAGGGTCATAACAGAGAGGGAGTACAAACAGAAAACCAAAACATGGTTATGGCGTCGCATTGGTAGAACGTCGCATGACATCACGTGGCATCGCAACTTGGTCTATGTTGGTCTAATCACGGAGGCAATGCAAAACCAAGGGAAGTGCCTCAGGTTTTCGAGGCAGTGCAAAACGATTTAGGTGTGGAAAGATTTTGAAGAGGGCTAAAACAGGGTCGGTACGTCGACCGAGAAAGAAAAGAGGATGGCTTTTGCCTTCGAGTCATTTGAAGTGAATGCTTAAGAGAGGCTGCGAGTTTTACCAGCTTGGTTACAACTGCTTAAAAAATTGTGAACAGTGTAGTATGCAGATGCCGTACTGTTTGTAGTTCTTTTTATTGCTATACAGTTTAAACTCAATTTAACGAAGTGATAACAACCCTTAAACCACTTCTTTAAATCGGAAGCTGCTTGAAACCGAGAAAGAAGTTTCTCAGTTCTTGAAAATTCAAGCTTCTATTGTGGCGGCATCAAAAAGCTACTGTAGCACTGTATTTGCTGCTGACCAATGCCTGCTTATGTGAGAAGTCCATATGGGCAGCCGTGACATCCACTGTTTGAGCGATGCAGGCCATGTAGACACTTGGGCTGCATCAAGTGAAGCTATGACAGCACGCTGGTCCTCATGGACGGGTTTATGAATGCACTCATTGTGCAAGTTGGTTGAGCAACAAAATTGCTGGGAGAGGATCTCTTTCATTTGACGCATGCACAGTGAATTAATGAGGAACCACTGGGATTCCAGTGCTATCCGGTACTTGAGAGCTCTATTGACCACTGGGTCTGCAGATCCGTTGTTCTTTTGGCATGTAGACTTATCAAAATAAAGATAGGGTCATGACTGGGCCACCTAGATTTTTTCAAATGACAGCGTTGGAGCTCAAGCTCGAAGAGATACATGTTTCTGTCAAAATTGGAAAAAAGTCACCTTTGTCTTTACTCATTTATTCTAACGAAAATGTCAGTTTAGTCAAGTTTGTCATGTTAATTCAGGTTGATGTCATCATTGTGCTCAATAAATACCTGACAGGAAATAGAAGTTTAATTATATTGGGATCTTCAATAAATAGGCTTTCGTTAGATGGAGTTCTAACTGCTGTACATAAGGGAGGGGAGAGCTTCGAACCCCTCCCTCCTCCCTTTCAAGAGGAACTTCTGGCTATGCCCCTACAGCTCCAACTTGTCGTTTTCCCCGTAACTATGGCACTGTACTAGCATGATGCATTAGCTTTAGTGGGGAAGCTTGGCCCTTAAGTTCCACACATGTTGTCTGTCGTGAAATGAGTTCTGCTGATTGAGCTCACTATCTGGCTGTGGTTATTATTTTAGGCGATGGCTTATGCAACACAACCTGCGAAGCTACACCACTGACCGTGCCAATAACATTCTACAAGAGGAGCTCAAGGTTTGCCTTGCCGCTGCCGAGAAGTACAGGTGCAACTACTATGCCTGGACATACAGGATATGGCTTATGGACACCTTTGTCCATGGTAACCCTCTCGTGAGTAGAAAATTCTGCAAGGCTTGTGCCATACTTCAATAGTAAATAATACGTTTGATGCAAATAGCGATTTGGTTTGAATAACTTGAGATCAAATGCGAATACAGTCAAACTCACCTTTAAGTGGTTGCTAATCAGACTTTCTTTTTGAAACGTGCACTTAGTGACCACGCTTTTTTTACGCTTTTTTATTAAAAGCAGTAATAATTCTTTTAGTGACAAGTTGGACCTCTTCGCGAGTTGAGTGAAACCCACTGCATGCTCACAAGCAAATTCAACCACCTTTACAATGAACGGATGCCATGGCACTGAAGCGCGGTCTTGCCACGGGGAACCAATCATCCCTGGCTAGTTGGATGCAGCGTGTCACCTACTTGGGCGGTGACAGTCGTTAGGCCGTGCATGTCATGTGTATGCTCATTTAGTCTGCACTTTCTGCTTGAGGTGCAAGCTGCAAGTTTCGAGCTGCTTACTGTTCTTCGTGTTACCTTGCAATTTGTTGCTGTAGCATTCATTCCTTTGCCCTTGTGGCAAAACAATGCACAATAAATGCTGAACTACCTCTGTGAAGACACATTTCACTTTTGTGTTGTAATGATTCCCAGAAATAGAGATCAGTCAGATTTCTTTTTAATCTAATATTTCACCATGAAAGAAACGATGGTGTGACGATTGCAGAAAAAAAAAAACAAATTGACAAATTGAATATTTTGACCAAATTGATCATTCATACTGCCACATCCCACCTTAAAAGTGCACTAAAGGTTCATGTCAAATCATCATTGATTGTTAAAATTGTGTTCCAGAAACCACAGAGTGTTTGTCCCATGCCATGAAAATGCTTGATCTGAAAAAAAATTTGCGCCTTAGTGCTTAGCATATTGTTGGTGCAATTCAAACACCCATTACTGAGAACAGCCCTTCGATGTAGCCAAGCCCGCCCTGTACTTGCTGTACAGCCCAACAACCGGTGTGTAAGTGCAATGGAACCAGGAGCTTTAGTTGAGCACAGCATGGCAAAAATATATTTTCAAGAAGATCTTTTTTTTTTTTTTGTGAATTATACCGAAATGTGCTAGTTCCAATTTATTCTGTCTTGTAATGCTCTGAAATGTTTTTTTTTCTGTTATTAGTAGTTTAGGTACTTGTTATTCGTTCTACAGCAGCCATACTAACTCATATGGCTTGTGTTTTTAAAAGTCTGTTGGTGGCACGAACTGGATCCAACAATTACCTTAAATTCTTGCCTACTAAATCGCTGCCGCATGTACTAATATCAATGCTTCAGATTTTTTCAACTATTTTCCTTTCACTCTGATATAATGTGCTATTTGCCTTAAGTGTCTCTTCGATATTGATGATTCTCACCGATACGTACAGATGCTGGAATCCGAGATTCAACTGACCCGTGAGTGGGTCCGCAGTCACGTGTCCGACTGCAGCGGCTTCCATTACCGGCAGTACTTGCTGCGCCGCGTGGGAAGTATTCCGTTGCTGTCGAAGGAGCTGGCCCTGTGCGAGGAGCTCTGCCTCTCGTACCCTGGCCACGAAGCGATCTGGATGCACCGGCGCTTCTGCCTCTGGCATCTGCATCCGACTGCCACGAATGGGGAGACCCAGGCCAAGAAAGCTCGTGGTGCCACCAACTGGGCGGAAGCAGAGGAGGCCTTTCTGCAGCGAGCGTCGGGTTGTGGGGAATGGCAAGACGAGTTGGTGGTGCGTCACGTTCGTTGGTTACGCAGTGTCCTGGGCTGGACGGGTACGGCACCGTGACTGCAGCAGTGCAGTGGCTCCTGCGACACGTGCTGGGAGAGAAGTGGCTGTGATTTATCGTCTCAGGAGAAAAGGTTTGAGCTCCTGATGTAGTCAGAAACAATATAAATGTCTGAAGGCAGCCGGAAGTTCGTGCTACCTTGCATTTGCTTCCACTGTGACGGATAAGTCTCAAGCAAGTCACGGGACATTACAAGAGTGAAATAACAGTGCTTGATGTGTAGGTATATGAGCTTGGAAGAGAGATATGGCTGTGATTTTATCTTGGGAGGAAAGAAAAAAAAAGTGCTTTTTTTTTTAATAATGAGGAATTTGACCAAAAAGCATGGCGTCAGCAGCTACCATAAAGGTAGTCAGAGGCATGTGCAGTCGTGCCAAAGAAGTGCACGTAATGGCTTACGTGCAGGAACAGATGTATCGGATGCACTTTAGTCACAGCACTGCTCGACTACTGCAGTGGTGAAATTGTCAGTAGTGCTACTTGTGTGTAATCTTGCATAAAGTACGATTATTGTAGTGAATGTAAAGAACAAGAACTGCCTGCATGGCTGTGTCATTGTTATCATTTAGGTGTTGCTAACTGTGAGGTGTTGGCATATCTGGAGCTATTTCACGTGCTCCTGCAAATTGAACATTACTGATGTGGGCAACTAGCTCAGTTCACGTGAGCCATTCCTTTTGCTATGCTTTTGCTAAGCTTCGTTGATGAACTTTCAGGAATATGCTAATGAAGACTTTCAAACAACTTTAATTCACTGAAGTCTTCAACAAAAAGAAAAAAGAAAAAAAAAGACATTGACTACTTACCAAGAAGCTAGCAAAAAAAATTTGGAACGGTGCCTAGCCACATGGGAAGCCTTTTTGTTCTTTTTATTTGTGGATGGACGGGGGAAGGTGCATTTTATCTTTTTCTTAAACAAATTTTATCTATATGAAAAACACTGGCTTGTGATATGGAATTTTTGTATTCTTGCATTTTCACTGCATGCCTGAGGATAATGTAAACATCGTAGTTGTAGGTAAAATCAACCAGTTTCAATCATTCTTAGCTGTTGTTAATGGTTTGTGTCAGACGTGATAAGCATGTCATGTCCACTTTGAAGCAGAAGCCAAGAGGAAGGAAGTCAAGTTGAGTATTGGGCATGGCATGTAGCTTTGCATTTCCAATGTTCTGAGCCAAAAGCCTTAAACTCTGCCACATAAGTAATGTGGTAATGAACCTGCAAAACAATATTGCGTGTCGTGATCATGTGTACCACATAAAAGAAAGAAAAGGTTACATTCACAGGAACACCTTTATTTCAAAAGAGGCACATGATCTCAGGCAGGCAACGATTTTTGAAGTGTGAAGTCAAGCAAAGATGCTCGTTGCATGGAAAATGCAGACAACAGTTCCCCATTTTGCAAATGGTTGACAAAGTCTCTTTTGGGTATAGCCCATATTAAAGCAACGGTGGCACTGTTGTATCCTTGGCTTTGCGCTAGTTTTGTCATGTACAAATATGGACTCATTCATTTGGTTGATGTGGTAACTTATTGTCCAATGTTGACACGGTAGTTTTAGCTTATCGAGATTAGTTTTGAGGTCTACAGAATTTTCGATGACTGAATAAGTAGTAATTCAGCTTGTGGAAGATTGTGGAATTGCAGTTTGCTAGTTATCACCTTTATGAAGTGTTCTACTTTTCTATTTGTACTTTACCATGCCATTTGAACATTTTAATACCACATTGTCTTGTCATTAGGAGTGCACAAAACATTGATTTTGAAGGACATACTTGCCTGCAGCATAGTATCTCACCTTGTTTAGTTATTTGAAGTATTTTCGCTAGGATCTGGCATAGTGCTGCTTGCCATTCCTTTTGCTTTGCTTTCTGCCAGTGTTGAATATTGGGTGAGTTGATTCCTCGTACTTGAACTGGTATAGCGAGTTACGGTAAAGAAGAAATGGCCAAGCAAACCGACACAAGAGGACAGAGCAGTAACTTCCAACTAAGCTTTATTCACTAATTGCATCAAATATGTACACTTGTGCAAGCATTACGAATGGGGATGATTTTTGCTGTTCGAGGTGAACATATAATCTTTTAATGTTTTTATTTATTGAAAAACGCTCTTCTCTTTATGGCACCCTCACTTCCGATTTCACAATATCTGTCATGCACTTCATAGTTATTTTAGCATGAAGAGGGCGCCACAAGACTTTTTAACTTCATTGTGTGATGTCTTCGGTACATGAGGGGCAAGTGTCCCACACATTTCTTCAAATAACACTTTTATGTGCATTTTGTGTCAGCGGAGCAATGGTATGCGCCATGTCTTTCCTCTTTGTGACCTCGAGGCTTTTCTGTCCATTGAAGCTTTCTAGAATGCTAGACTCTGCTGTTCTTTGTTAGCAAGGGCAACGCATATGTAGTGCAGTTTGCATTGTTGCTCATTTGGATGCTGTTTTTACCTGCTTTTCTATCCTGCATACTGAATTTAAGGACAAGTAGCTGTGAGTACATGCTTAGTTCCTTTATCTGGTTTTACTCTTTTCCAAGTGTTTGAGGTGCCTGTCTGCAAGCCTTCCTTTAGCGTGGAATAAGACCTAGTAAATAACTAGTTAAAGTTAGTTTATGCCACTCTTTAATAGGATGCAGGGAAACCTCAATATAACATATCGGGTATTATCACTTATATGCTTTGTGATTTGGAAACTTCGGTATATTGAAGTTGATCATTATGCAAACCATGTAGTATATAATTATATAATTGTTGAGAGGTTCTACATGGGAAGCTTTGCAAAAATATTAGAATGAGGCAGTATGAAAAACAGAAAAAAACTAGTTTTGATAACATTGTTAAACCTAAAGTTCCGCAACCATGATTTATTGTATATTAGCAAAGTCATCTTCATAGCAGCCATACATCACGTGTACAGCCAAAAGAAAAGCAGGTCCAGTGTGATGTGGTAATCTGTGTAAGTTAAGAACTCATGCCCTTTCTGCCTCTGTAGCTTGTTGCTAAATTTTTATTGTAGTGAAGGGTTGTAGAATACCTGTGTTGTATGTGTTCTGCAAACAGGACTACTAGCTTTTTATGCATTGCAGTGAATTAAAAGCCTAAATAACTGTTGCGTTCCACAAAAACGAAAGGGCTTCACTTTGGCATTGCATGAAAGCGAGGCAAAAAATTGGTTGCTTATCTGCGTGATTCCCTGCAAATGTCGAAAGACTATTGTCTTCTGTCGCCCGTACTACATGAGTCCTGTTCTCATCCATGGCCACCCACGATGCTGTTCTCGTACCGTTTTGGTCCTGCCAGGTGGCAGCACCATATTGTCGGCAGAGGGCTTTTTCGTGCATAGTGTCACATTTTCAGCGCAGTGTAAGAAACACTAGAGTAGTTACAATTATGTATCTAGGTATTTTCTTGTAGAGGAACACACCACCTAATACTTAGGTATTATAATGTTGTGCCTCAGATATGTGTAATAATTGCTTTTTATCTACAGTGTTCATGAGTATGAACGCAGTCACCAGTTCGAAATTGCTGGGCATACAGATAGTGCTTAAGCTTTGGCCATGTGACTGAATCATGTAATAGACATGATTCAACCACGTGGTAAAAAAATTTTTTTGCTCTGTCTGTTTTTCTGTCTGTGTCAGAGACACGCATACAGAAAAACAGATGGGCCAAAACTTTTGCGTTCATGTATCCCAAGAAGGAGTGTAGTCTTTAAACATAAATTGTGGCACATTTGGTCATGCTGGCCATGTTTCATGCTTTGTGATATCAGGCATGCAGTTTAAACTCAATATAGTGAAGTGATGACCATGCTGGAATAATTAAGTCAAAGTGCGAACTTCCTAACATCCAGAAAAAAATCTTCATCTCTCAAAACTTAAACATGTAGCTAGCATAACTGCTGCTGACAGCTGACGCGACATTTTATTTGGCATTAGCACACACCGGTGTGTGTAAAAAGTTTACAAAGACAATGAGAACATAGAGCTTCCCATGTCTGAGTGACACAGGTGAAGTATACAGTCGCATGAAGCTATAACAAGGTGCGGATGAGCAAAGATGTTTAAATCAAATGCAATGGTTGTGCAGGTAGGCACAGCAAAAAAGTTATGATGAGAAGGTGTGTGCTGTCTATTGCATAACCCATTCAACAAGAAAAGCAACCACAATGTTCCTGTGAAAGCATTTACAGGGACTACAAACCACCACTGCCCTGGAACCTTTTGGGATATAAGAGAACTACCAATTCTTGAAACCACCGTTCAGTAGAGCTCCCTCAATATAAAAAAAAGAATCATAAATGGAGCAGCTAGATGTTTTAACGTGACAACATTACGGTGCATGCACGAAGAAAAACCTGTGTTAGATTTAGAAATTGCTAAACTTATTCTCCCTTACTATAAAAGCCCAGACAAGTTCTCCCCCACAGTGAACGGTATTCTTACAAAATTTGGAGCGCGGACCCCTGCTCGTGTGAGATCGAAATTCAAGCTGGCGGTGGAAGAGCTGCTAAAAATAAAGCATAGCCATGTTTTCAATGAAATCTCGCATAAACACTCTTTCTTGCATCAAGGTTATCCGTGTCAAAGGAAACCCGAACAGCAGCAAGCCTTTGCACTATAACATACCTGCCAACTGTCCTGATATTGTCCGGGAGACTCCTGAATTTCAGCCCGACTTCCCGATTGTACAAGTGCTGTCTCGAATCTCCCGTAAAGTGACCGTTACAGCAGGGCCGTTTTTTTTTTAAATCATGTGCGTATGCTGGTCTTTCCTGCTGCGACAGTTGCGATTCTGTGAAATAGCACTCGCCACTACACTTCTAGTTCATTGTAGCGATACCGTAGAGTATTGCTAAGGGTATTCTAGGCACTGTAGTACCGGGAATCTGGGCGAAGGCGGTCGCCACCGTACCGAAAGAAGGCGACCACAACTTTTGCATATGTGTGCCTTGTGGGGTATGCTGAGCCTACACTGCTTCCCTAGGCGTCAATTGTGTTTGTTACATGGTATTGGGAAGCTGTGTGTTTCCCCGAATTTAGTTGGAAGGTCAATGGCAGTTTGAAAAGTAAAGAAGGATATTCGCAGATGCTTCTGGACTCTCAAGCAACTGACTTTCTGTGCTTTGTGACTTCATGGAAACGTGGCAAGTATAGATTTTATACACCAAAAGCGCTTGTGATGTAAGCATATCGCACGGTGGCAAGGCCGACAATTGGGCAGGAAAACAGCGGAAGTTTCATCTAAAAAAGCAGGGAAGACAGTGTGATCAGCGCAGAATGTTTATTCAAGGGTTTTTTTTGTAAGACACAACGTGCTACTGAGCATAAGTGGTCACACAGGGCCATTATTTCGGAAATGCTCCCAAAGTGCGAGGGTGCGAAGCAGTACGAGTGCCGACACAAGAGAACAACTGCCATCGTCGGGAAATGGCGACAGTGCGTCGCAATGTCAAATATGCAAAAACAAAAAAAGTACCCCCCCCCCCCCCATGCTACGGTCACCGAATTTTAATCCTTTAATCCTGCTAGGTTGGCAAGTATTGGCTGCGGGGACTGCATTTTCGATGGTGGCGAATTTGCTGTTGAACTTGTTTCAGATTTGGGTGCAAGTTAAAGAACCATAGAGGGTCGGAATTTCCGGAGCCCTCCACTACGGCATCTCTTGTAATCATATGGTGGTTTTGGGACATTAAACCTCACATATCAGTCCGTCAAGCATTAGGTTGGCAGGTATGCTATACCATCCCAAATGCTTGTCACTGTTCGCATTTCACTTGACGTGGATAATACATGACACTTTGGATTATTAAAGAAGTTTGTTATATTCAAGTTTGTTATATTAAGGTTAACTGCATGACAGAGATTTCAGTCATTAGTAAAAAATAAAAAAATAAAAACTTTTTTTTTGTTAGATCGTGTATGTAAATATTTCTGTGGTTTGGTTTGGTTCGTTGTTTATGGCATCATCTGGCTAGTGGGCTGTTGCAAGAAGTTTGCATTGTTCGATAAGTGTTGCAGGCCTCAATAAAAGCTCTCGTAAATGCAGGTATGTAAACCTGCGTGACCCTTTATCAGTTGGCAAAAGGATGACGTCTCCAATGTCTGCATTTTACTAGGTTGTTATAAATAGGGCTCACATGCCAGCAAGGCACTGAAGCTTGCCTGTTAGTTTTGCTTAGAAAAAAGTTTCAGGAAGAAGCATTCAGCGAGTTTTGTTTAGAAAAAAGTTTCATGGAGAAGCATTGTAGCTGTGGTAAAAGGGTGGAGAGTTGTAGACGAGTCGATCAGATTGCAGTTGTGGACTTGTAGAACGAGTTCATGAAGGTTTTTACCAAGCTGTGAAGTCTGTGTATGCTATTGTATTATGTGCGGTTTCACCGTCCATTCGGCTCATACCAAGGTCACCAGTTGTGCTTTGGTGCTTTCCTTCGTGTAACTGCAGCACTTGTTGTTGTTGAGTTGTGGCTAGTATTGCTGAAACTGCATTTATATGCTGCTTCTAGATGTCTAGGACTAGCAGTTATTTAGTGGGTT